GGTGCCCGCTAGGATGGCGGGGGGGGTGGGGGGAGTGCCTGATGGAGCAGGGGTGGGGTGTTGGGCTTGGGGAGCTGACAGTGTCTACCGCAAACAGCGGGGCGGGGAGAATGGAGGAGCTGGCAGTGCCTGCTGGAAGGGGCATGGTGACGGTGCCCACTGGAACCCAGGATGTGTGGTGGGACAGTGTGTGCTGCAAAATGGGGGAGGGAAGGCAGCAATGCCTGCTGTAACTGGGGGTGGGGCGTGGAGGAGTCCTGAGGTACCCACTCTGATGTCCTAACCTGAAGAAGTTTTAGAGTGGCAACCTTAGTGTGGTTTCTGCTCTTCAGAATATCCATCCTTCCCCACCTCCATTTCTGATCCTGATTAGACTAAAATGACCCAATCACATAAATGTTTGGAGTGTGGTGGGACTTTTCTTCATGTGAAAGTTTCAGATTTTCAACATCCTCTGTATTTTACCTCTTCTTTAAAGAAGAGTTGATTAAATTTTACTTGAGATACTGTTTACAATGTGTGATAAAAGGATACTTTGCAGGATTGATGCCAGAACTCTGAGGATGTACACACCAGGATAGACTGAACATTGGAATAGACTGATAAGCTGAAACCCTTTACTGGAAAGGAGGGTAATCTAACATTAATTTATCGTTTTAAAAGAGTTTTATGGCAGGTGAAGAAGATTCTGTTGTGAGGGTTCTCCAAGACTTAGGGTCATAAAAATAAGTAGACACAATTAAATGCAATAAGGACTTTTTCCGCACAGAGGTTTAAATGTAAAGTGTGGTAGCACACAAAATGGTTCTGATGAATGGAGTATGTCCAATTATGATGAAACTGGTACATGCGGAGAAAAAACATCAGAAAGCCATGATGACTGCATGGGGTAAGATAAGATGTAGGGAGGCTCCTCCTGTAGAACATCATCTTTAGTCCTCTAACACGGGAGCCTACTGCACTCTGTGTCACGTCAGGATCTTGAATTCATCTCGCATCCCAACACTTGAGCTAATAATCCAATCTCTTTAGTCTGTTGTATTGTCGGACAACCTGTAATGTCAAGCTTTTCTAGTGATTTTGATAATTCTGACATTACAAAAGTAACCTGATAGGACACTTGGTTTTTAGGTTTTAGTAATTGTCATATTCTTCTGTTTATTCTGATTCCCAAAGCACACTTTACCCTCTGGTGAAAGTATACTTTGCAGTCATAGCATAATCTTACAGTTAATTTTGGGGGCATCTTTTGATTTGATTTTTCTTGTATTCTGTACAGAATGCATCCCTGCAATTGGCAAAATGACCTTAATACTCAGGCTGAACTATATTTTTTCATTTGATTACTTTGAGAGGTGAAAGCTGCAAGATACAAGTTTAACTAGAATGTTTCATCTGTTGGTTGGAAACAATATTATACAACAGTGGTCTTTTTGAATATTTAAATATGAAATGTTATTATGGATGAGTAAAAATCTTGTTTTTTTTTAATGTAATGTCATTCAGAAAAATGTGGGTTCAATTCTTGAGGCACATACTAAACACCTCAGGGAAAGGCAGAGGTGAGAAACAAGTCGGGAGCAGAGGAGAGAGTTCAATAAACAGAACGAAACATGTTTCACATTTTATACCCTCCTCTTTATATCAATTCAAAACTGGTGATGAATTAATCAATTTAATCGTAGGTAGACAGGATAGTGAAGAAGGCGTTTGGTATGCTTGCCTCATGTTGCAGCTGTACAAGACATTGGTTAGGCCATTTTTGGAAGATTGCATTCAATTCTGCTCTCCTGCTTTAGGAAGGCTGTTGTGAAACTTGAAAGAGTTCAGAAAAGATTTACAAGGATGTTGCCGGGGTTGAATTGTTTGAGCTATAGGGAGAGGCTGAATAGACTGGGGCTGTTTTCCCTGCAGTGTCAGAGGCTGAGGGGTGACCTTATAGAAGTTTATAAAATCATGAGGGGCATGGATAGGGTGAATAGCCAAGGTATTTTCCCCAGAGTGGCGGAGTCCAAAACTAGCAGGCATAGGTTTTAAGGTGAGAGGGGAAAGATTTAAAAGGGACCTAAGGGGCAACTTCTTCACACGGGGGTGGTGCGTGTATGGAATGAGCTGCCAGAGGAAGTGGTGGAGGCTGTTACAAATGAAACATTTAAAAAGCATCTGGATGGGTATGTGAATAGGAAGGATTTAGAGGGATATGAGCCAAATGCTACAAATAGGACTAGATTGATTTAGGATATCTATCGGCACTGAAGGGCCTGTTCCCATGCTGTACAACTGTAACTCTAAGTAATATTGAATATTTCGTTTCACACTTCCTTTCTTTCTTTTATTAGAACATGTCATTAATGGTGATGCTGTATTTAGTCAAGAAAATCAGTATTTCTTGACACAGACTGAGCAGTATGAGTTAGCTGTGAAAAGAGCTGTGCACCTGAGGCAGAAAATGAAGGATCTGGGATGGACCGAATCTGGAGCTGAGATGCAGTTTGCTTTCAGGTATATTTTGTAATAAAAAATGCTATATTTGTATGTAAGAGCTCCCACTCCCTCCCCTTGCCTCAAACACAATACTATCAGTCTTGTTTCAGTGATGCACCTAGGAAGTACATGAGTGGTCTGAACTCAAGTCTTTATTTCCTTTTGTGGAAATGTTCCAGTCAAACATTTCTCCACAGCATTTTAACTAAAGTCAAAAACAGACCTGGTGGTGATGACCATGAATCCATTGCCGATTGTTGGTAACACCCATATGGATTCACTAATGTCCTTTAGGGAAGGAATTGCCATCCTTATCTGTTCTGTGACTCCAGGCCCATACCACTCTTAACTGCACTCTGGGCAATAAATATGGGCCTAGCCAGCGATGCCCACATCCTGTGAATGAATTAAACAAAAAATTCAGCACCCCTCCCACCCCTAAACCTGTGTTAACTCAGTATTCTATATTTGGTAAATTACAAACAAAAAAAAACTGCAGATGCTGGAAATCTGAAATAAAAACAAAGTACTGGAGAAACTCAGCCGGTCTGCAGAGAGAAAAAGAGAATTAACATTTGAAGTCCAATGCCCCTTTGGTATTTGCTGTGTAGTGTGAGACCCCATCTAACTGTATTACAGTAGTAACTAGACTTCTACTAGTGTGAACGAGTGATCAGGTGCTGTACTATCCTATTATGAGTGCAGTGTTTTCCAAAACAAAACTGTTGTCTTGAAAGGAATGAAAACTAACCTTCAAATGGAGGTGGGCAAGGGGGAATGGTCATCTGACTTAATGAGCAGTTGTCCCATGGCCATTGGCCAAAATGTTTCAATTACGTGAGCCTGAAGTGTTCAGGAAGGCTAGTCTGGTTCAGGACTAAAGCATCCTAGCAGCTCTTTTGGAGACTTGCATACACATGGTCTGTTCAGTGGTTGCATGTGGTCTGCACACTGATAGAGTGGAAACTCTTGCAGCTTAAGACGATTCCATGGTGATCTGGAAGTGCCTTGGTTGTCACATGTGCTTTGGATCTATCCCTGGGCCTCTGAGAAGTCAGCCAGAGTCATAAAGTTGAACGTCGGCTCATTCTGACTGGTCTCATTTGAGACTACCAGGCAACATGCTAAAGTTCTGCAAAAGTCTGCTGCAGATCCTGAGATGAAGAAGTTGAGGTTGATGGTTACTTTAGTTGTCTTAAGTAAAGCATGGTCACCTGGTTGAGTTTCAGCAGGCTGCACATGTCTGAAGTGATATGCCAGTTCTCAGAGGACCAGCTTCCAGGATACCAGACTCCATTTGCTGTACTAGGGATATCATCTTGAACAAATTGCACTGCTGTGTTCATTCCTCGTTCCTATGGAGTGGTGAGTCAGTGAGGAAAAAGTACTTCAACCACTGCTGCTCATTTGTCCTCCTCATCTGACATCTAGATAAACATTAGCAGCACCTATCCTGGACCCATAAAAGTGTTGTTCAGATGTGCAAAGCTCCTAAGTAATAGAAGTGACTTCCAAAATAGCAGAAATTCTCTCCAAAATAGCAAAATCATGCTCTCCATACAGATCCTGGGAGTAAAAGCCTTCACCTGGGCAAGAAAGCAGGTGTGGAATTGTGGTTCTTAGATTTTTTTTTTTGCCAATTATTTGGTCAGCCCCCATAATATTCCCACTTTGGTTTCACTGACTAATTCTGGGAACCTGTGCATGCACAGTTCTTTTAACGTTGAAAATCCTGGTTAACGTAGCTGTTAATTAACTAGTCTTGCATATAAGATGAAATCCTGACTGTTCTGAGGCATTTTTCGCAGGTCAAGTGCAGTGTCATTAAAAGCATGTGACAATTAGTTTGAGCCTTTGTGTGCGTATAGTTTCAGTGTGAACTCTAGCCCACTCACTCAGATCAATTAATATTTCCTATAAGTATTTAGTTACTTCTTGTTCTGTGAGTTGAAGATGGTAAGACACAATATTCACAAGCAAAATATAATTATGCAAGGTGTTATCTCAAATAAAATACCTACAAGCTTGGCTGCAAAATTATTTCTTTTGTTACTTTAGCTTAGTCTTATGAAGTGCATCCAAATTCCTATTAGAGTATGCTTGATTTATATGTCCTGTTTTCTTGATTTCAGAAAATCTTTTGTGTAGTATATCCAACATGGTAGCATTACCTAATTACTCCTTGTTCACATTGTTTTACATTCTGAGCTGCTATAAAGATGTCTTTTTGGATATAGCTGAAACTGACTCAACCTTCTCTCCTCATTTTACCAACATTTCTACAAACCAAAGGTAGCAAATCCCTATCATGATATTTTCTAATCACCCGGTTCAGAGATGTTATGACCCACCTAGGAGCAGGTGGTCCAGAATTAGGGACACTACCATTGCACTGCAAGAGCTCTCCAAACAAATTTCTCTCATTTCTACATTCTCAAGTCCACAAGCCTCCTTTTAATTACCAGCACCATTCACAAAGAGCTTTGAAAGAGTCTTCTTGTGGTGCAGTGGTAGTATCCCTACCCCTGAACCAAGAGGCCCAGGTTCAAGTCCCACCTGCTCCAGAGCTGTGTAATAACATCTCTGAACAGGTTGACTGTTGGGAAGAAAAGGACAAAGAGCTTTGAGGGCTGTTGTAACTCCGTGGTAGTATCCTTGTCTCTGAGCCAAGGGCCCGAGTTCAAGTTCCACCTGTTCCAGAGTATCTGTGAACATGTTGAGTAGAAAAATATCTGTAAAGGCTTTTAAGGTTCACAGAATGCAGCTGGATGAGTAGATAAGAACCTGGATATTTGGTCTACATTAATGTGCCACTTACTTGAAATACTGGAGTTCGCAATTTGCATTTTAAGTCTTTGTCAACTAGGTTTCATTTTAAAAAAGTAATTAATTTAGAATACTTGCCATTCCTTCATATCACAAAATGTCACACTTTGAATCCTTCAGGAGGTATGAGATTTCCCTGGTATTTTCTAACCAAATATAACATAGAATAGCCTTTCGTACTTTTCGTATTTTATGTTTCCAGGAATCCTTACATTGGGCCCTAGATGGCTGAATTTTCAAATTGAAATCGCATGAATTAGATTAATGCCAACAGCATGGGGTTTGATCCTCATTCAGATTGAGGCAGAGTTGAGGTCTGCTTCCTTGCCCTAACTATATATTTTTTTAAAGACCACAGCACATAGCCATAGTTTCGCAGTCATCAAAGATCTGCCTTTAGGGCAAGGATCCTTGAAGTAGAACAAGGAGAATCCTTGAAATAAAACAAAAAAACTGTGAATGCAAGAGATCTGAAACAAATAAAAACAGAAATTGCTGGAGAAAATCAGCAGGTCTGGCAGCATATGTAGAGAGTAAATAGTTAACATTTTGAGTTTAGTGACTCCTCTATTTTGCTAATTCTGAAGAAAGGTCACTGGACTCACAATGTTAGCCTCTGCTTTCTCTCCATTGATCCTGCCAGACCTGCTGCGTTTCTCTTTCTTTTTAAAAAGAATCCTTTGTCACTTATTATTTTGCAGATCTGTTTGTTAGTTTCTGTGAATTATTCTTATGCTCATCCCTGTTATGTGATTTGTGCTTGGCATTTTACTTGAGGAAAGCATTTTTATCCTTGAGTCCTTCAGTATTTCCTTTGTCATCCACACTAGTCTCCCATTTTTCTCTCACTTGTGTTAGTTTGTGGTCCACTCTTTTCCTTTTGGCATAAACGTGATGCTAAACTCAGTTGCATTGTGGTCACTATTTGCAAAATGCTCAAATTTCAGCTGTGGTTTCAAAATGACCAGGTTCTTTAATCGCTTAGGTAAGCCATCCTCACCTGATCTGGCCTAAATGTGACTCCAAACCCACTAGTTGATTTTTAACTGCCTTTTCATAGGGTCTGGTAACTGTTCCAGTCAAAGGCATTTGGGGATGGGCTGACCCCACACATCCTATGAAAGAATAAAGGTGGGGGGAAAAAAAGCCTTTCAATCAAAGTAAAGCATGTCTGGAAATCAAAGGGAAGGAAATTATAAGAATATAACTGATGTTCAATTAAAAAGTCAAGGAACTGATTACACAGTATACCTCAAGCCAATGATAATTGGTAACATCAGAATGTACGATATTCTAATAAATAGTGATATGAGATTGCTCAGTGTGATGTATTTCTGTTGAGAAAAGTAATCAAAACCAGTGATTTTCTGTTTCAAGGGTTGTGGATGTCACCAGCTAGGCCAGTATTTCTTGCCAACCCTTAATTGCCTTTGGTGAGCTGCCACCTTGAACTACTGTAGTCCATATGGTATAGATACACTCAGTGCTGAAATGAAGGGATTTCCAGAATTTTGATAGTGACAGTAAAGGAACAGTGATATAGTTCCAACTCAGGATGTTGTTGACCAGATTAAACGGTCAATATGGATTTCTGAAAAGGAAATCTTGCTTGACAAATCTACTGGAATTTTTCAAGGATATAACAAGTAAAGTTGATAAGTGGGAGCTAATGATGTGTTTTCGATGAGTTCTCACATAAGAGGTTAGCATGTAAAATTAAACCACATGGGATGGTGGGTAGTGTAATAACATGAACAGAGAACTGGTTGGCAGACAGAAAACAGATTAAGAATAAACAGGTCTTTTTCTGAGTGGTAGCCAGTGACTAGTGGGGTGCCAAAGCGATCTGTGCATGGACTCTAGGTATTCACAATATAAATTAATGATTTAGATGAGGGAACAAAATGTCTTATCTCCAAGTTTGCTGAGTCGGAAGGTGAACTGTGAGAAGGATGCAAAGATTCTTCAATGTGATTTGGACAAGACGAGTAAGTGGACAAATACATGGCAGATGAAGTATAATGTTAATAAATGTGAGGTTATCCACTTCGGTAGTAAAAACAGGAAGGCAGATTATTATCTGAACGGTGATATGAGAATGGTGGGATGCAACAGGACCTGGGTGTCTTTTACACCAGTCACTGAAAGTAAGCCTGTAGGTGCAACAGGTGGTGAAGAAGGCAAATAGTATGTTGGCCTTCATAGCAAGCGGATTCAAGTGCATGAACAGGGATGTCTTGCGCACTTGTACAGGTCCTTGGTGAGTCCACACTTGGGGTATTGTGAGCAGTATTGCCCTCCTTCTCCAAGGAAGTCAGAAGTCACACGACATCAGGTTATAAGTTCAACAGGTTTATTTGAAACCACAGGCTTTCGGCGTGCTGCTCCTTTGTCAGGTGAAGTGACTTCACCTGCGCTTTAAAAGCTTGTGATTTCAAATAAACCTGTTGGACTATAACCTGATGTTGTGTGACTTCTGACTTTATCCACCTGAGTCCACCACCAGGACCTCCACGTCATATCCAAGGAAGGATGTTCTGGCTGTGGAGGGAATGCAGCAAAGGTTTACCACACTAATTCCAGAGCTGACATATGAAGAGTGACTGGATCAGTTAGGATTATATTCACTGGAGTTTAGAAGAATGAGGGAGTATATCATAGAATATAAAATACTGACAAGGCTAGACAGGGTAATTCCAGGAGTGATATTCCTGATGACCAGGGAATCTAACCAAGAGTCACAGTATAAGGATACAGGTAGGCTATTTAGGACTGAGATAAGGAGAAATTTCTTTTTTCAGATTGGCAAGCCTGTGGAATTCTCTGTCACAAGGTGGTTGAGGTCAAATTTTGGATGCTTTTAAGAAGTTGGGTATAATTCTTGTCAAAGGGTATGGAGGAAAAGTGGGAACAGGGTTCTGAACTGGATGATCAGCCATGATTGCATTGAATAGTTGAGCTGGTTCACGGTCTAAACAATCTACTCCAGCTCTGTTTTCGAAGTTTATGTGGCTTAGATGGCAACTTGCAAATGGTGGTGTTCCCATGTATCAGGTGTCCTGACCCACCTGGGTGGTAGAGTTTGTATTTGGAAAGTACTGAAGCTAACTTGATAAATTGCAATGTATCTTCTAGTACACACTGCTGCCACTTTGTTTTTATAGCGGAGGGAATGTGTTTAAGGTACTCAATGGGATACTAATAAAGTGGGCCGCTTTGTCCTGAATGATAGTTCCAGTTGGCAGCTGACATTTTCTGAAAGTCTAGAAGTCCAGTTAACTCAATTTTTTTGTAAAATTATGAAGCATAAATCAACTGGTTTAATATAATCAGTACTGATGAAATATTAACTCTGCTTTCTTCCCAAAAATGCTGCCAGACCTGCTGAGTTTCACCAGCAATTTCTGTTTTTGTTTCAGATCTTTAACATTGCTGGTTTTTTGTTTTGTTATTGTTCTGAATGGTGCCCAGCTTCATGATTGTTGCTGGAGCTGCACTTGTCCAGGCAAGTGGACAGTATTCTATGCTGAGATGGACCTTGTAGTTGTGGACGAGCATTGGGAATAGAGGAGATGAATTCTTATCTCAGAATTCCAAGGCTCTGACCTGTGCTTTTTTTCTGGCTTTAGAATCCTGGGAGGAAATTTGGCTCTTGGAATCCACAACGGAGTGTTTATACCAACCATCACAGAACTGGGAACAGATGCACAGATTGCCAAGTGGGTTCCCTTGGCTAAGGATTATCAAATTATCGGACCTACGCTCAAACCGAACTAGGTCATGGTAAGTGGATAATTTGACAAGCTAATATTTGATTGCTGTTTTCCAGCACAATTATATTGTACCAGTTGATTTATGCTTTATCATTTTACATAATCAAACTCTGAGTTAATTAGGCTACTAGAGTTTACAAAAGTCAGCTGCTAAGTGGAATATTGCTGCTTAACTTACTATGGCCTAAATCAGAGGGAAGTGTTTCTATTGTGAATCCAACAAATAAATTCTGATCTTGATTGAATAGTTGCACAGTTAAATTCACAATGGCCCCTTTCTGAAAATAATTTAATGACAGTCGATTTGAGATCAAGTTATTAGATTAGTTTAATGCTAGTCTGTTCCAGTGACTGATATCTGGCTGTTTAGCAGACATTTTTTCATAATTGAGATAGTTGGATAGATATGCAATTTCAGTTAGGTAAACATAGCATTCAGTTCCAAATATTTGTATGATTGGAACCTCTGAGCAACATAATATGCTTTACTGAAGTCAACAATGCAACAAACCTGGGTCAAACACATTAGTTGAACCAAAGAGAAGTGATAACCAGAAAGAACAGTAGTTATTTGACGATAAATAAATCAACTTTCATTTCCATCTATAATCTCTAACTTGCAACCTGTTCAGGTCTTAATCAGTTTACTTGCTATTCGTTTTAAGGCACCTATCTTCAAGGACTAGAGACAACTGCATCCTTTGATCCTTCCAACCAGGATTTCATCCTCAACTCACCAAAACCATCATCAATAAAGTGGTGGCCTGGTGACTGTAAGCCTCATAAAATTTTTCACTAACTAGACTTAGAAGTTATTCATTTCTGCCTTTTGTTGAATTTGAACCTACAGTTACTTTGAATGGAAATAGATTTCTAACTCCAGAAAACCTGTGTACATTGTACTCCAGTAATTCATGACTATAACGTTATATGTGCTATCTAAATGCGTGTTGTTGAAATATAATGGTCTAGGCCTTGCTGGAATGGAGTATATTGTGGTGCATGTCCTTAGTTAGATCTTTTCTGAACACTTCATTTCATTGAATTGTTCCACTATTTCTTGCTGGAAGTGAAAGCTTACATTGATGAGATGATGTAATGAACCCCCTTGGATTTCAGTGAATGACAGAATCAACAGCACATTTAACAAATAAGATTTGAGGATTGAGAAAGAAACCGGAACAATGGAGCAAGAAGGTTAATTTGACTCAAATCAGGTGCTGAAGAAAGAAGACAGAAAGATTGAGAGAAAGAGATGGGAAGTTGAGAAAAATAAATCTAAAATCTGTCAGCAACAATTCAATACATGTAGGAGTGAGACTGAATTAATTAAATTGTTCTTCTTCTGCGCCAGAGAGATTATTTGACATTTGCATTGTCAAATATCACCTTGTTAAAAAGGTATTTTACACTTTTAACAATTAGGCATAATTTTTGATGGCACAATTCATGGGCAATTAATGTTTAAATCCAGCATTCTTAAAAATAACAGGAAGGCTGTTAACACAAGATGCCTTTTGTGTGAACCAAACAGGATATTGTAAATTGGCCAGCAAGTTGGGGGACAAATATTAACATAATCTATTACATTTTGTAGAGAAGTCTTAATAAAATTTATTTCCTGTTGTCAGTGGGTAGGTCGGCAAATCATGCTGTGGTTCTCGCACAGCTGTACACCCAGGGGAAGTGCCACGGGATGCATGCTTTCATTGTTCAGATTCGCAGTCTGCTGGACCACTCTGCTTTGCCAGGTAACATTCTGCTTTTTTTATTTTCCTGACTCTCTGAAAAGCTTTTTAGCAAAAAGTCTGCCTTGTCTTGTTTTGACAGTGGGTGAGTTATGTGATGAAATTACACAACCATGTTGACTCTGACTGATTACTTTGAACTTACCCAAGTGTCCTGCTGTAACTTTTTTAACGAGAGCTTCTAACAATTTCCCTATAATAGATATTAAGCTAACTGGCCTGTAGTCTCCTGCTTTCTGTCTTCCTTTTTGAATAAATGTACCATCTTCCTTCCCCCAAATCAAGGGATTTGGAAAATAACCAATACATCAACTATTTTACTAGTCACTTCTTTTAAGATGCTAGCATGAAGTTGAACTGTACCTAGGCACTTGCCCGCCCACAGTTCCAATAAGTTACTGAGTACCAATTCTCTGGTGATTTTGATTCTGAGTTCCTCCGTGCATTCAATTTCCTGATTTATTGCTGCTTTGAGATGTTGCTTCTCTCTTTTATATTGAAGATTGATGCCAAATTCTTGTTCAATTCCTCTGAATTTCCTTGGTTTCCATTATTAATTGTCCAGTTTCACTTGCTATAGGACCAGTGCTCATTATGCTAACTCTTCCTCTTGAAATATTTATAGAATCTCTTGCTATCTGTTTTTATATTTCTGGTTAGCATTCTCTTGTACTCTAATTTTTCCTCCTTATTAATTTTTTGGTCATTCTTTTCAGACCTCGGTCTCCTGAACTTGGATCATCCTTCTCTATTGTGCTAATGCTCTCATGAACAAGGGAAACCATTTCCTAGTTCCCTGTCAGTACTAAGTGTCCTGTGTCCTGTATCCTTCAAGGTTCAGGTTCCAATCCATGTTATCCTAACAGTCATGTCTCTGTAATGATTACCGTGTCATACTTATTCACTTATTCTATTTGCACTCTGTTCTTTTGTTTTGAATACTATATACGTTGAACTTTAGTTTTATCCTTGGGCTGTCATTATAAATTTTTGTCTTATCTGACAGTTGACTCTTAGATTTATACTCTGTCCCTTTCTGTTGTGGTCACATTATCCTTTCCCATATTAATACCTTACTTTAAAGTTTTAGCAAAAATTTGTAGCTTGGGTTACGGATGAGATTGTTGACTTGCTCGCCGAACCGGCATGTTTTCGTTCAGACGTTTCATCACCATGCTAGGTAACATACGTGAGGCCTCCAATGAGGCAACGTTGTTCTACTCCACTAGGAATTTATACTAGAGATAACAAGGTGTAGAGCTGGATGAACACAGCAGGCCAAGCAGCATCAGAGGAGCACGAAAGCTGATGTTTCGGGCCTAGACCCTTCTTCAGAAATGGGGGAGGGGAAGGGGGTTCTGAAATAAATAGGGAGAGAGGGGGAGGCGGATAGAAGATGGATAAAGGAGAAGACAGGTGGAGAGGAGACAGACAGGTCAGAGAGGAGGGGATGGAGCCAGTAAAGATGAGTGTAGGTGGGGAATTAGGGAGGGGATAGGTCAGTCCAGGGAGGAGGACAGGTCAAGGGGGCGGGATGAGGCTAGTAGCTAGGAGATGGGGGTGGGGCTTGAGGTGGGAGGAAGGGATAGGTGGGAGGAAGGACAAGTTAGGGAGGCGGGGACAAGCTGGGCTGGTTTTGGGATGCGGTGGGGGGAGGGGAGATTTTGAAGCTTGTGAAGTCCACATTGATACCATTGGGCTGTAGGGTTCCCAAGCGGAATATGAGGTGCTGTTCCTGCAACCTTCGGGTGGCATCGTTGTGGCACTGCAGGAGGCCCAGGATGGACATGTCATCTGAGGAATGGGAGGGGAAGTTGAAATGGTTCGCGACTAGGAGGTGCAGTTGTTTAGTGCGAACCGAGCGTAGGTGTTCCGCAAAGCGGTCCCCAAGCCTCCACTTGGTTTCCCCGATGTAGAGGAGGCCACAACGGGAACAGCGGATACAGTATACCACATTAGCAGATGTGCAGGTGAACATCTGCTTGATGTGGAAAGTCTTCTTGGGGCCTGGGATGGGGGTGAAGGGGGAGGTGTAGGGGCAGGTGTAGCACTTCTTGCGGTTGCAGGGTAAAGTGCCGGGTGTGGTGGGGCTGGAGGGGAGTGTGGAGCAGACAAGGGAGTCACGTAGAGAGTGGTCCCTCCGGAAGGCAGATAAGGGTGGGGAGGGAAAAATGTCTTTGGTAGTGGGGTCAGATTGCAGATGGCGGAAGTGTCGGAGGATGATGTGTTGGATCCAGAGGTTGGTGGGGTGGTACGTGAGGACGAGGGGGATTCTGTTTTGGTTGTTATTGCGGGGAGGGGGTGTGAGGGATGAGTTGCGGGAAATGCAGGAGACACGGTCTCGACCACTGAGGGGGGGATGTTGCGGTCCTTGAAAATCGAGGACATCTGAGATGTTCGGGTGTGGAATGCCTCATCCTGGGAGCAGATGCGGCGGAGGCGAAGGAATTGGGAATAGGGGATGGCATTTTTGCAGGAAGGTGGGTGGGAGGAGGTGTATTCTAGGTAGCTGTGGGAGTCGGTGGGCTTGAAATGGATATCGGTTTTGAGGTGGTTGCCAGAGATGGAAACACAGAGGTCCAGGAAGGAGAGAGAGGTATCAGAGATGGTCCAGGTGAACTTAAGGTTGGGGTGGAAGGTGTTGGTGAAGTGGATGAACTGTTCGAGCTCCTTGTGGGAGCACGAGGCGGCGCCAATGCAGTCATCGATGTAATGGAGGAAGAGGTGGGGTTTAGGGCCAGTGTAGCTACGGAAGAGGGATCGTTCCATGTAACCTACAAAGAGGCAGGCATAGCTTGGGCCCATGCGGGTACCCATGGCCACCCCCTTTGTCTGTAGGAAGTGGGAGGAATTGAAAGAGAAGTTGTTGAGAGTGAGGATGAGTTCGGCTAAGCGGATGAGGGTGTCAGTGGAGGGGGACTGGTCGGGCCTGCGGGACAGGAAGAAGCGGAGGGCCTTTAGGCCATCTGCATGGGGAATGCAGGTGTATAGGGACTGGACGTCCATGGTAAAGATGAGGTGTTGGGGACCAGGGAATTGGAAGTTTTGGAGGAGGTGGAGGGAGTGGGTGGTGTCATGGACGTAAGTAGGGAGTTCCTGGACCAAGGGGGAGAAAATGGAGTCGAGATAGGTGGAGATAAGTTCGGTGGGGCAGGAGCAGGCGGAGACAGTTACGTGGAACAATCCCTCTTCCGTAGCCACACTGGCCCTAAACCCCACCTCTTCCTCCGTTACATTGATGACTGTATCGGCACCGCCTCGTGCTCCCTCGAGGAGCTCGATCAGTTCATCCACTTCACCAACACCTTCCATCCCAACCTTAAGTTCACCTGGACCATCTCTGATACCTCTCTCTCCTTCCTGGACACCTCCACACCTGCTAATGTGGTATACTGTATCTGTTGTTCCCGTTGTGGCCTCCTCTACATCGGGGAAACCAAGCGGAGGCTATACTGGCTCCATCCCCTCCTCTCTGACCTGTCTGTCTCCTCTCCACCTGTCTTCTCCTTTATCCATCTTCTATCCACCTCCCCCTCTCTCCCTATTTATTTCAGAACCCCTTTCCCCTCCCCCATTTCTGAAGAAGGGTCTAGGCCCGAAACGTCAGCTTTCGTGCTCCTCTGATGCTGCTTGGCCTGCTGTGTTCATCCAGTTCTACACCTTGTTATCTCAGATTATCCAGCATCTGCAGTTCCTACTATCTCTGGAATTTATACTGTCTGATCCATTATGGTGAGTAGGGCCATTTCTGGTTTTGATCTGTATAGGTTTGTATATGGGGTCCAATTCTATATGTTTATTGATTGCATTACGGGTGGAGAACCATGCCTCTAGGAACTCCCGTGTGTCTCTGTGTTTTGCTTGGACTATTATGGTTACCTTGTCCCAATTAAACTGATGGCCTTTATTGTCCGAGTGTACTAATAATAAGGAAAGTTCATCATGCTGTTTTGCTGCTCGCTGACATTTGTGTATTCTGATGTCTAGTTTCCTTCCTGTCTGTCCAATGTAATGTTTGTGACAGTCGATGCATGGTATTTTGTAAACCACGTTGGTTCTGCATGTTGTGGGAATGCGGTCTTTAATCCTTGTGAGTGTTTGTCGTACAGTGGCTGTGGGCTTATGTGCTACCATGATTTCTAGTGGTCTTAGGAGTCTTGTTGTCAGTTCTGATATGTTCTTGATGTAGGGCAGTATGGCCAGTGTGTTAGGACGTACTGTGTCCTCCTGTTGTCTGTTTAGTATGCATCTGCAGATGAAGTTGTGGGGATATCTGTTCCTAGGGAAGATCTTGTATAGGTGCTGTTCCTCTTTCCTGCGTAGCTCCGAAGTGTTAGTGTGTCTTGGCCCATTTAAATAGTGTCACTAACACACTGGCCACACTCCCCTATGTCAAGAACATATCAAAACTGACAAGACTCCTAAGACCACTAGGAATCATGGTAGCACACAAGCCCACAGCCACTCTATGACAAACACTTACAAGGATTAAAGACTCCATTCCCACAACATGCAGAACCAACTTGGTTTACAAAATACCACGCAACGACTGCCACAAACATATTACATCAGACAGACAGGAAGGAAACTAGCCATCAGAATACATAAACGTCAGCTAGCAGCAAAACAGCACGACGAACTCTCCTTAATATTGGTACACTCTGACAATGAAGGCCATCAGTTTAACTGGGACAAGGTAACCATAGTAGTCCAAGCCAAACATAGACACGCACGGGAGTTCCTAGAGGCATGGTTCTCCACCCGTAATGCAATCAATAAACATACAGAATTGGACCCCATATACAAACCCTATACTGATCAAAATCGGAAATGACACTACTCACCATAACGGACTAGACAGTATAAATTCCAAGCAGAGTAGAACAACATCACTTCATCGGAAGCCTCACTGATGATGTCACCTAGCATGGTGACGAAACGTCTGAACGAAAACAAGCCAGCTCAGCGAGCAAGTCAACAATACTTTTCTTTTTGGCCTTGAATCCACTCTTTGATTTACCACATCTTCCCACATGATTCCTTGCAGCCACTATTTAGTCTAAAATCCTCTCAACTTCTATGGATATGCAGTGCTAAGGATTGAAGAATTTCCACTGTGAATTATATCTCACTGTAAAGTGGTTTCACTTGTTCAAACTTGATACACTGGAAGCTGAGTCTCTGACAAATCTCACCATGTCCCTGATTGAATTAATCACCATTGTGAGTTTCTGCTAGTTGCATCTGTTTGTAGCCGTTAGAGAAGAGTCTTAATTAGAGTTTATTTCAAGAAAACAGGTAATAACAACATCCTTTACATTTTAAAAAGATATTCTACTAAAACTGACTGCATCAATGAAACTCATAAATCCTATAAATTTTTGAGATAATTTTCAACATTTTAAAATTGGATTCGTCACAGAAGGTGGGCTAGAAACTTTGATTAAAAATGCTTATTTTGTTTTGTGATAGACCAGTTTTCACTTGTGTTACTAAGTCTGAATCAGGTTACCACAGTTAAATATATTGAGAGTAGCTGTATTAATGCAAAAAAAAAACACATTCTATAATCTTGCAGATTCAAGAAAGATTTGCATGGGTTTCCATTCCCTGGAGATGACAAAAATGGGAAATACTTGGGCAAGTTAGCCTTGGAAAGAAACTCCTTATTCTCCAACTCTATAGTTCAGTGCTGGATGAGAAGGTCTACCAGCAAGCCCTTGACTTGCTTGCAGTTAATGTCCTTAATTGAACATGGTGCCCATGCCACAAAAAGAAGAAAAATATCACCTTCTCTTTGCTGGATGCCCTGAACTGTAGGTTCTGACCAATGGACTTCATAACTAGAAGTTGCCAGCACCTACTTAGCCAGAAGCTTCTGGTAACCCAGGTAACCAGTACTGAGACTTCCTTGTCAGATGTTAATGAACTAATTGGGTGATCAGGTGAGTTAGCTGGCCAGTGGGCATGTACTGTCTGACATGTACTGTTCCCACATTTAGAAATAGTTCTTGAAATGTTCACCATTAAATATATTCAGACTATTGTCTTCCATAGTCTTATGCTATAGAGACGTCAACAGATTCTCACCTTCTGAGCTAAGAAATTTCTCTTACTCTGTCATAAATGACCTACTGCATACCCTGAGACTGCAACCCTTTGTTCTAGAGCCCAGCCCAGAGAAATATCATCCCTATATCTAGTCTGTCTGGGCTTGTCAGAATGTTATACATTTCATTGAGATCTCCTCCTATTCTTCTAAACTTAAAGAATACAGACCTTGTTGATCGAGTATCTCCTCATACAACAATGCTGTCATCTTTGGTACTAAACTAGTGAACCTTCACTATTCTTGCTCTATGGAAAGTATCTCTTCTCTTCTGTAGAAAATCTTTCTGAAAATCCAAAGGCATTACATCCTCTGGTACTTCATTCTCAATTCTACTTGTTTCATCTTCAAAATAGTCAAGTAAGTTTGCTGAACTGATTTCCCATCCATTGTGACTTTGTCTATCCCATTGATATTTTCTAAGCACCCTGTTAGCACTTCTTTTATCATACATTGTAATATTTTTCCTAATAATAACATTAAACTAACTTGTCTATAATCCCGTTTTCTCCAACCCTCCATTTTTTTAAGTGCTAGGGTTATTTTTGTCATCTGTCACCTGCTGGGACTGTTCCAGAATTAACAGAATTTTGAAATATGATCAACGCATTCACTAATTCACATCTCCTTTTGGCACCCTGGAATGTAGATCATCAAGCCCTAGGGATTTATCAGCTTTCAGCCCCATTAATTTCTCCAGCACTTTTTTCAAAATCTAACACTAATTTCCTTCAATTTATCCTCGCTAGAACCTTGGTTCCCTAACATTTCTAGAAAGTTATTTTTATTTTCTTGCATGAGGAGAGAACTAGAGTTATTTAATTGCTCTGCCATTTCCTTATTATCTATTATCAACCGCCTTGTTTCAGACTGTATCTTCATTTCTCTTCATTAATCTTTTTCATTTTACGCTTACAAAAGTTTTTACAATCCACTTAGTTTGATGATATACACATACATTTCAATGAAATCTTGAGCAAACAAAAGTCTTATCTGGAAAGCAGCACAAGGTTTTGGTAATTGTGACCAGAGCGGAAACTTGGTGTCGTCTTCTGATAGAGGAGATATCTGAATTAGTATCTCAGTATGTGGTGGAGGATGGAGTAAAAACTTGATTCTGTCTTCACTTTAGGCCTTGATCTTGCCTTTGCTGATGTTGAATTTATGGAGGAGTTGACTTAAATCTTTACTTCTAGGATAGTTTAGGAGCTCATCCTGTTTTTTGCAAATAGGTCCTCTTTTTAATTGTTGAGAGAGGGAGCATTGTAATAAAATTAAATTTCTTGCACACCCAAAAAGCAATGTTACCCAAGAAAGGGGACTGAGGGGGAGAAGTTTCTTAATTTTCCAGTCACCTGCAGAGATTCAAACGTGGAATAATGGCTGATGTTAGAACACCAAAACTTGACTCAGCTGACTTTAGCATAAATTATTCCCTGCATGTACTCTCCTGTCACGCAGTCTGTCTTTTTAGCCCTCCTTATAACTCAGCTGTTAGTTCAAGCTTTTTGCTCTTCCCTTTTACTGTATCCTTTTAGCTCAGTGTTCGTTCCTCCTCACTCATTTGTGAAGCACTGCAGAACTTTTTTTAACTGTCTTAAATGTGATGTGTTCACCCATTTTGTGTATTGCACTTCACAAGGTCATTACTGATGAGCAAAGCTGTTTGACACCATTCTGTTCTGTGCAGAGATCACAATGCTGACCCTGAGTTTTAGCATCCAATAGTTTCTTAAATGATACCCAGGTTTTTGCTCCACTACCTATAGATGAAGGTTCTTTCATCCGTTGGTCTTCATTTTATCAAGATTTGTTTTATACACACTGTAAAATTATCATTTGCTAGTTTAAACCTGTGTCACCTGATTCTAATTTAATATAAAGCAGCATTGTGAGTAAGATTAGGGAAATCGATCAGCCAGTTTGGACACGATAAAGTTCAACAATTATCAAGCAATGAGATAAATAACCAGGGTTTTTTTTTTGAGTGATGACCCAGCAATAAATTTGGCTAGGACACTGAGAAACCAGTGCACTTCTATCTTTTGCACCCACTTGAGAAGGTTGCTGTTTTAAAAATGCCTGTGTTTCGCCCGTGTCTGTACTTTTGAGTTGTGCACCCTAATTCCACTGATATATATCCCAATTGAATTTCTCACACCTTTGCTGTTTTAGAATTCACGGTATTAATCAAATTAGAAAAATGCCCTGCTTTCGATCTCTGTCACTCAATAGATATTTCTGCCTACCCTACTCTGACATAACTCCACTGAAGTGGACCCTTTCATCTTGTGTAGTTTCTTAGCCAGTACCATCTTTTACCTTAGCCCTCCGCAACTTTGTACGTAATTATATCCTTTTGTGTGAAATATTATCCAAATCCCTTTGGAAATCAAGGCACACCTCACCTTGGGGTTCACCAAAGACCATTTCTGGATGCTTTTACTGAATGCACTTCTAAGTTAAAACACTGTTAGTAGATGATTATTGTATACGTGATCCTCAAAGTTTCTGCTGATGGTAGATTCCATTTTCTTAAATGACATGGACTTATGGAACATGAATGGCTTTGTAATTTTTGTTGTCAATTTGCTGAATGTGGGAATTCCAATCCCTAGGGGGTCTTAAGTTCAGTATGGGAGTCCCTGATTTATGAATGTCCAAGTTACAAACATGATTCCATACATGGTTTTAAAATTTAAATACCTGCCATGTGAATATTTCATATACGAATGGCTTTTTTCCATTGTCCTGAATTGTGTTCCAAATCAAACAAATCGACTTGCCAATGGACTCCAGAATGGGACCCATTTGCAATCTGGGGACTGCCTGTAAATTTAATAAAATGTGGAATAAAAACTTAATTTCACTGGTGACCATAAAACCTTCAGATTGTCAATAAAACCCATCTGGTTGGACTGTGGTCTTCAGGAAAAAGAGTCATCTATGACGAGGCAGCCTGCTTCCATGTAATGACCTTCTGAAGATGGCCAAGTGTGCTACTCAGTCATATTGTATTCAGGCACGTGGCTGATCACCACCACTACAAGTTAATTGGGGATATACAATAAATGCTGGTCTTGCCAATGATGTCATCATCCCAGGAATGCTTGGCAAGACATGGATACTAATGCTAATGTATTTTATAATGTAATTCCAGGTGTCAAGATTGGAGATATCGGTCCAAAGATGGCCCTTGAACAGGTTGACAATGGATATTTAATGTTGCAAAACATTCGCATTCCCAAGGACAATATGCTGAACAGATATAGTGAGGTATGTATTTCAAGTTTTTCACATAATTCTTAAACTGGAGTTTTCAAGTTAAAAAAAATTATACATGGGACGTTGAATGTTGTTCACAAGGCAACATTTATAGCCCTCAGTTGCACTTGAGAAGGTTGTACAGGCTATCTCGCTAGAAGGAGAAACTATGACTGCAGAAAATCTCCAAAAAAATTGAATAAATCTCATTGCAATGCTTTGGAATTTGAAGGTTTTAAAATCTAATTTTTGTGATAGTGGGCTGCTTTCTTAAACCACTGCAGTTTCTGTGCTAAAAGTACTTTTACAAGGCTGTTAAGTAGAGATTCTTTCAAATTTTGACCCAACAAAAATTTAAGGAATGCAACATATGTTCAAGTCAGTGTTGAGTGACCTGGAGGAAATCCATACAGCCCATGATGTTGATAGTAGAGATGTTCTGTGGAGCTATTGATGTTGAATGTCATGGAAAGCTGTTTAGATTATTCTCTTGTGGAAACTGAAATGGTGAGAACAGCAACCCAGGTTCAGTGCACACATGATAAAAGCAGCTTTAAGTTTCTACATTCTCTAAATACTGCTGTACTGATGATATGTCAGCCCTGCCTTGTAGAAGGTTAATAGCTTACACATTTCATCTGACGACATGCTCGTCCTGCACATTGTAAATAACTCATGCACAGTATAATGTTTTACGTTAATTGCTTGTTTTTTTTTCACTGAATTAGAAATACCAGTTTTACATTAATCCCTGTTGCCACTCTAGGTTACTTCAGATGGTCGCTATATTAAAAAAGGATCTGACAGAATCAATTACATTGTTATGGTATTTACTCGAGTGAAGATAATATCTAGCGAAATGGTGACTGCACTTTCCAAAGCCTGTGTTATTGCTATTCGATATTCTGTGGTGCGACGCCAATCAAAGTTAAAGACTGGGTATGTTGGAATTCCATGTCACTTAATAAATATTTGTATGGAGTGAATGTTCACTTACGTGTTATCTGTACATTAAAGTTTTTTATTGTTGCAGATTTTATTTCCAAAGTAAAAGCAGAATCACTTGAAGGAATTTTCAGATTTTTAATCTGAAAGCTATTTTGATGGAAATATACAATAAATCTCTCAACAGTACATTTTGGGTGCTGATTGCAACATAAGAATATAAGAATTTTCAAAACCAGCAAAGGTTTTTGAGGTTCAACAAATGCACTGTTTGCAGCCTACTTGCATAATATTCTCTAGCCCTCTGTTCTTTCCTGAAATATACCTCATTGTCTTGATGCATTGTCTTAATGGCTTAAGAACTTCTCCTAGTAACTAATTATGCAAGTTTGTTACCCAACAAGTAGAATAGAATTCTACCTGGCATTCTTTCTAGCCCCTAACTTATGAATTTTTAACTATGTGAACCCTTTGAACCTTTAACCAGACTGAACATCCTGGCTTCATAATTTTTGACAGCCATTTCCATAATATAGAGAACTTTAAACATGTTTACACACATTCTCTTCTTCCTCAAAGAAAATAAACTCAGTTTTTCTAACCATTCTTAATATATTCCTGATACCTGCATCATCTTGGTTGTCCATCTTTGTACTCTTTCATGTACAATAAAATCCTACAATCCAGTGATAACTGGCCACTGTATGCCAGATAGGATGAGACCAAATGTTGTACATTAATAGCCCTGTAGTACAATCTGTTTACATTACTCCATCCGTCTCCTAATATTTATATTTTTCACTGCAACCAAGTTTGATTTCATAGTTTTAAGTAGGTATTCCATTAGCGTTATATCTATTAACTGAATTGTTGCAAACCAACAAAGAAAATGGTAGTTCCAGTAGAGAAAACATCTAACACAAAAATCAAGTTATGTCAAAGATATCTGCACAATAAATGGCTAATACCTGGCTGATTCAACTTGTACATTGAACATTCAGCTTTGCGATTCATGATTTTGAAATTGTGATCAGCCCTCAGTGAAATGGAAGCAAAAATTCTAGATTATCAGACCCAGCAACAGAAGCTTCTTCCTCAGCTGGCAACAGCATTTGCCTTTCATTTCATGGCCTTATCATTGGATACCTTCTGCAACCAAGTGAAAATACAGATCACAAGCAAGGGAGATGCCTCATCATTGCCTGGGTAAGATAATTTGGCTAATTTTGGGAATGTACAGGCAGAGCAACATGCAATCTGCACAATAATGAGGATTAAAACAATTACATTTACAGCACTGTCCTTTAAAAATAACTTCTAGAGAACATGCAAGTAATATCACTGGTCATCAGCTGTCAATTTCCTGAGGTGTAACATGTCAGCAGTGCTAGTGGATAACAGTGATTCAAAATAGGTGAAATAGTGCTTTTACTGCAAGTATTATGGGAGGGTCTGTTTCATTTCAAAGCTTCAGTCTGGATTATGTACTGCAATCCTGTTGTGGGGCTTGAAGCTGATGACTTCCTGATTTGGAGGCAAAACTGATGCCACTGAACCAAGCTGACATTACCTCAAAACTGTGAGAAAATACCAGAAAAGAATGTATTATCAGAGGAGTAGGAAAGTCGACATTTTGAGTTGGAAATTGAACCGAAGAAGGGTCCTGACCCGAAACAACATTGACTTTCCTACACCTCTGATGCTGCCTAACCTGCTGTGTTCCTCCAGCTCCACACTGTGTTGACTCTGACTCCAACGTCTGCAGTTCTTGCTATGTCCCAGAAAAGAACATACGATGCGTTCATTTTAGACACATTAAATATCAGCATTTCTGGGTAATGTAAAGCAGACTTAAATTTGCTTATGATTTTTCAACCAGTTTATTTCTATTCAGTATTTTTTTAGGAAGTACATGAATGAAGTTTTACAAAGTTAGTCATTTTGATTTATGGACTCGACTCAGTTCCCTGAAAGTGATGTAATTGATGCACACTGTGCAGTGTTATCTCAGAAAAAGCTTAATATCTGAAAGTGTTTTTAATAAGAGGTGAGTTTCCATCTGCCAATGTGATGAGCAGCATGTGGAACTGACTGATGAACAGATTCATATCTTACAGTTAATATGAACATCGGTCAGAGGTTTAATAAATAGTCTAGACATATTATTAAATTCAAGATCCAAAAAGATCACTTGCAATTTTAATTTCAGAATGTTATGGCGTACAGATCTAATCTATCTCATTTTTATTTCTTTGTCCTTTTTACCTTTCAGTTGCATCTCTTGAATTTTTAAACTCTCAGTCCTTGAGACCTGACAAAAATATGCCTTGAACATTTTAATTAAGTAATTCTAATTGAGATGTAACCTAAATAACATAGGCAAAACCGTCCTGTAGGGTAAAATCAGCTGATGAATTTGAGTTCAGTGTCAGTAGCAGAACCATCCCTCTCTATTAACATGGTAGTATTTGCCTAATTTTCTGCGTCTCAGATTGAGCTACTTCTTTCATGGGTTTAATTGGATCATATATCCAAAAGAACCTAGATTAAGAGCAACTTTAAAGAAATACAGAAAGATGCCTGGGGGCAGAAAAAGGAACAGGATACTGAGTTGGAAGATCATCCATGATCATATTGGATGGCAGAGGAGGCTTGAAGGGCCAAATGACCTACTCTTCCTATTTTCTGTGCTTCTATGAATGCATTTGTAATGTGGCAATTAAGATGGAAATTGCAGAAATAGGTTTACAAAATGTTTCTCAAAAGCATCAGTAAGCAGATAGTTGTGGTTTTGTTTACACATCTGCCAGTAAATTTCGTACTGCTGACATTGGAGAACATTACATTCTAGAAGATCTGAGTTTTACAGAATTCACCGATTATTTACAAAAAATAAAACAGTGGAGGTATTCAAAATCATAGGCCTAGCCAGAGTAGATGGAGACAAACTGCTCCCATTGGTGGAAAGGTTGAATACCAGAGGATAAAGACTTAACATGAGTGACACAAAAACCAGAAGTGATACAGGACAACTTATTGTTTTGTTTTGTGCAGTGTGCGGTTAGAATCTGGATTCTCAGAATAAGGGGCCTAACATTGAAGACAGATGAGGAGGAATCTCTTCTGTCTAAGGATGGTGATTCTGGTTGAATTCTTTACTGTAGAGGTCTGTCAAGTCTGGGTTGTTAAGTGTATTTACAGCTGCAATAGACAGATTTTTCATCTGTAAAGGAATCTAGGGTTATGAGGATAAGGTAGGAAAGTGGAGTTGAGGGCGACCAGGTCAGCCATGATCTCATTGAATGGCAGAGCACATTTGATGGGCTGAATGGCCTACTGCTGCTGCTATATGTCATGGGCTTAAAAGATCATGGCTGATCTGCCCCAGGCCTCAACTCCTCTTTCATGCCAGCTCATCGTGACCCTTAACTCCTGATCTTTCAAAAATCTATTCACCTCCCATTTAAATATTTTCAGTGATCTAGCCTGCACAACACTCTGGGATCGTGTATTTCAGACATTCACTACCATCTGAGAGAATAAATTCCTTTGTAAGTCAAGTTTTTTAAAAAAAAGTGATCACTTATTCTGTAACTATGTCCCATTGTTTAAGATTACCCCACCAGTGAAACAACATCTCAGCACCTACTCTGTCAAGCCCCCTGTGAGAATCTTGTATCTTTGAATAAGATCACCTCTCATTCTTCTAAACTCTAATAAATGAAGAAGTAATCTGTTTAGCTATTCTTGATGAAGCAACACCTTCATCCCAGGAATCAGCCTAGTGAATATCTTTTTAAAGTCTCCAATGCCAGTACACTTTTTTTTCAAATGTGGGAACAAAATTGTACACAGTACTCCAGCCTCAACAACAGCCTGCACCATTGAAACAAGACTTTCCTATTTTTAATAAAGTCCAAACTCTAGCAATAAAGGCCAAATTTCATTTGCCTTCTTAATTACTTGCTGCACCTGCATGCTAACTTTGTGTTTCATGCATAAGGTTGCGCAGGTCCCTCTAAGCTGCACACTTTTAGAGTCTCTCTCAATTTAAAAACATGACCTTACTCTTTCTTACATTAAACTCCATTTGCCAAGCTTCTGCCCATTCACTCAACTTATCTATATGCCCTTGCAGATTCCTTAAGTCTGCATCACAATGTATTTTGCCACATAATTTAATCATAAAGGCAAGATGCACTGTTCCTTCCTTAAGTCATTAATACATGTAGTAAATAATTGAGGCCCAAGGACTGATGCTTGTGGCTGCTACATTCCTCACATTACTACATTTGGAAAAATAGTTCATGAACTGTGATCCACTGGTTGAGAGATAGATATTGACCAATGAAATACTTCCTTGGAAAAGAAAGAAAATCTCGGCCTTCCGATACATTTTAAAAGAGAATGTGTCAACACTTGTCCAACATTTTATTTCTCTGCAGCTCCATGCCTTGTCGGCAGGCCTAAAAGCTTTGATATCAGATGCCTGCAGTGCTGGAGTCGAAGTGTGTCGCAGAGCTTGTGGCGGCCATGGTTATTCAAAACTGAGTGGTTTACCTTCTCTTTACACTCGGGTGGTAGCCTCCTGTACATATGAAGAGGAAAACACTGTATTGCAATTGCAGACTGCACGGTATGGTAAAAGCAACTTAAATATTATGGGATTGCTCTATAAAGTCTGTTTCAAGTCTAGTACTTAGAGTCATGGAGTTATAAAGCATGGAAACAAATCCTTCAGTCCAACTTGTCCATACTGACCAGATATCCTAATCTGATCTAGTCCCATTTGCCAGAATTTGGTCCATATCCCTCTAAAACCGTCCTATTCATATAGCCATCTAGATGCCTTTAAATGTTGTAATTGTACCAGCCTCCAACAGTTCCTCCTGGCAGCTCGTTCCATATGCGCGCCACCCTCTGCGTAAGAAAGTAGCCCCTCGAGTCCCTTTTTAAATCTTTTGTCCTCTCACCTTTTAAACCTATACTATCTAGTTTTGGACTCTTTCTTCACCCACCCACACCCCCCCCCCCACCCTTGGAAAAACACTTTAGCTATTCACCCTATCCATGCCGCTCATGACTTTATAAACCTCTGTTAGTTCACCCCTCAGCCCTAGATGCTCTGGGAAAATTACCGCAGCCTATTCAGCTTCTCCCTGTAGCCTATGTCTGTAACTATGTCCCATTGTTCAAGATTACCCCACCCAAAAATTTATAGTAAAATATATTAAATATTCAAGTAACAGCACTGCTGTTACCCAGTGTGCTGAACCACACTTGGATACACACCCATCTGTCCTCATTATCAACAAACGCTGACCTGCAGAAATAAAGTTTTCAACCCTTCTATATTTACTCCCTAAGATCTAGGCTAGATAATTCTTCATTTATAGCACCAATCCACATACAGGATCTGCTGCTAGCTTCTGCGTCGGGCTAGCATTCAGGACTTCCCAGGACTTGATGTGCAATCTCGGTAATAATCCAAGCTCCAAATTACCTCTGTTGAGACCGCTACCTCAGACCAGCTCCTGGAGCAGTGCCTACAGTCCAACTTCAGCCTTTGACTTAACTTGCAACTTCAGACAGAATTAAACTTTTGAATCTGGTTTACCCCCCACAGAAATTAAAAGAAATTATAGGAAATGATAGACTTCCCAAATTGCTGTCCGATGATGCTCATTTGCTGCTAGTGTAAATATTTATGATGAAAGCAATTTCATTATTAAACTATAATATTCATGTTGCTTTTGGTAGTGTAGCATTCTTTTTTTTTAAACTTTAAAGTAGATGAGGAATTTGTACAGCTTTATAAAATGAAATACATAAAATGGAATTTGCATGATACCTGTTTAAACAGCTTAGCTTTGCAATGAAGATGGTTTACTATCGAAAATCTCGGTGCAGTTGTTAAATCATTTGTTAAATTTTGCTTGCATTCCAATGTTGAGCCATAAATAAATTGCCGTGCAGTCGTAACAGAGACCTGGACACCCAAATCAACTTTAGAACTGTATTGAACAGTGACTGATTACAAGTAAGCACATGCATCAGCTATGTTTACAAGTAAGATATCCAGGGGGACTAAGAGTTCCTCCTATCTATGATAATGTAATGTTGAGTGCCAAATGATGCACAAGTCTGTTCCTATAATTTATATCTTAAAACACACCCACTTTGGTCATAATATGATTTTGATCACAACACTACACGTGGTATCCTTTTTTGTCTAAACCTTGACAAACCAGCAGTCCACTTCTGCATTTCAAATGGCTGTTCTTGGTGTAAAATTAATGTGTCTTGCTGCATTTCTTCTGATTTTATCCAGTCTGTGTTTTGCAACCAAAACCACTGTTTTAATCCCCACTGCTCTATTTTCCTCCTCTAGGCATATTACAAGGTTTGTAGTTAATCACACGTGCCAACTACTTTATGGTACTCTTTAGCTGTGCTGGGTTGTCAGCTTAGTATGTTTTACACTTTTTCCTGGGAAGTGTTGCTGAACAAAGCGACATTGGAGTGCAGGTTCATAGTTCCTTGAAAGTGGAGTTGCAGGTAGATAGGATAGTGAAGATCTTCGGAAGTGAAAGAAGAACTTTATTTCTGCAGGTTGGGGCTTTTTGATGATGAGGACAGATGGGTGTATAGCCAAGTGTGGTTCAGCGCACTGGGTAACAGCAGTGCTGTTACTTGAATATTTAATATATTTTACTATAGATTTTTGGGCGCATACACACTTACGAAGAATGACACAAAGAAGCTACAGGGAGATGCTGAATAGGCTGGAGTAATTTTTCCAGACCATCAAGAGCTGAGGGGTGACCTTAAAGAAGTTTATAAAATCATGAGGGGCATGGTCAATGCATTGAGTATAGGAGTTGGGAAGTCATGTTGCAGCTGCACAGCACATTGGTTAGGCCAGTATTGGGATACTGCTTGCAATTCTGGTCTCCTGATATAGGAAGGATGTTGTTAAACTAGAAAGGGTTCAGAAAAGATTTACAAGGATGTTGCTGGGGTTGGAGGGTTTGAGCTATAGGGAGAGGCTGAATAGACTGGAGCTATTTTCCCTAGAGTTTTGGAGGCTGAGGGGTGAGGTTTATAAGATCATGAGGGGCATGGATAGGGTAAATAGACAAGGTCTTTTCCCCGAGATGGTGGAGTCCAAAACTAGAGGGTATAAGTTTAAGGTGAGAGTGAGAAGATTTGAAAGTGATCTGAGGGCTAAACTTTTCACACAGAGGGTGGTGCGTGTATGGAATGAGCTGCCAGAGGAAGTGCTGGAGGCTGGTACAATTACAACATTTAAAAAGGCATCTGGATGGGTATATGAATAGGAAGGGTTTAGAGGGATATGGGCCAAATGCTGGCAAATGGGACATGGTTTATTTAGGATATTTGGTCGGCATGGACGAGTTAGACCAAAGGGTCTGTTTCCATGCTGTACAGCTCAATGACTCTATGGTGGTAGGGCAGGCATTTACATTGACAGCTTGACAGAGCAATGCTGAGTAAGGGTCAGGAGCATCCATACAGGCTGAATGAGCATGTTTTTAGTAGTTCATTACTTTGTAGTATTTTGAATGCATAGAATTAAGTTATATGTCAGCCAAAGAATGAGTGGAGGCAATGACCTGGTGATATTATCACTGGACTATTAATCCAGAGATGCAGTTAATGTTCTCAGACCTGGGTTTAAATCCTGCCATGACAAATGATGGAATTTGAATTCAATAAAAACAATCTGGAATTAAGAGTCTAACAACCATGAATCCATTGTCAGTTGTTGGAAAAACCCGTGTGGTTCAGTAATGTCCTTTAGGGAAGGAAACTGTCATACTTACCTGGTCTGGCCCTAGTGACTCCAGACCCAGAGCAATGTGTCTGACACTTAACTGCCCTCTGGGCAATTAGGGATGGGCAATAAATGCTGGCCTAGCCAGTGATACCTTCATCCCATGAATGAATAAGAAAAAAACTTGGAGGCTAGAAGAAGATACAGAGGAATTGCAAAAAGGTATATATTTTAAAAACTTAATTTGATACCAAACTAAAATATACTAGAAAGGGAAAAGTTCTACAATGAAACAGTTTAATAAATTAGTAACTTGTGAAATCTGGACCAAATAGCGTCTGTGTCAATAGTCCTGTAGCTAAATTCAGTTTCATGTAGTCATTGGGTAAGGCTCACTGCAGCCAGTCTGGCCTTAGGAAATTACCCCTGCTATTAGTTTGCATTTTAGCATGCTGGAACTGATGCAATTTTTCTTCCTTGTTTAGGTTTCTAATCAAGTGCCTTAACAAAATAGAATGTGGCGAGCCTTTGCCCCAGTCTCTCTCTTACCTATATGAACCGATCACTCATCATTGTTGTGCAAAGGAAAAAAGCGATTTCCTCAAGCCATTCCTTTATATAGAGTTGTACAAGCACAGGGCACACAGGTCAGTAACATTACTCTTTTGTGGGATCGAAATTTATCAATGACATGGACCCAGAATGAGCAGAAGATGTTAGAACAAACTTTCTAAAAGGAATTTTGGATCATTGTATGTCTATTAAAACTGACTCAGCAAGCATTCAAAGGAAAAGAAATCCCCCAAATGTAAATGCAAGTAACATTCACACCATTGCAAGTACAAGGCAATAACCATCGCCAACAAGAGCTAATCCAACCATCTCCCCTTGAGTTCCTGGCTAGCAACCAGAAGGCATAGTCTTTTGTCAATTGATATAGAAACCCATTTGGGATCCTTTAGTGTAGAAATCTGCTATCCTTACCTTGTCTGGCCTACATGTGACTCCACACTGTCAACAATGCAGTTGACTCTTAACTGCGTTCTGAAATAGCTAAGCATGTTACACGCTTCAAGGCCAAATAGGAATGGGCAATAAATTTTGACCTAACCAGTGACGTGCACATTCCATGAACAGATTTTAAAAAAAGTTTCCCTGGAGCCTAATCCAAAGGAAATAAATGAGCTTCACGTTTACTTCTGGTCAAGTTAGCTATAAAATTTTAGATGTATTATAACAAAATAAAGTGATGACTCATTTGGCAAGACTGCATTAATTGAATCTTCCTGTGGAGTAAGTCACAATCAACACCTGATTTAGTCCTATATGACAGTACTTAGGACCTGAAAAACAATCTTGCGTGGCATGTTAGGCCATTGATAGCACAAACAGTAGTTGAAAACACAAACAGATTGATAGATGTGATATTCAACAAAAATAGTATCATTGTGCTGTCCTCCATGTGGATTGTGTGAAGCTTCAGGACAATTTGAAAAGTGAATCAGTTAGAATGGGAAGCGAGAAGACCAAGCTGCATCAAGGGGTAATGAATTTAGTGCACTATTCTCTGCTGGAATTGGAAGAAAAACAAAATAGTGGTTGTGATTGGACAGTGATTTAACAGAGCTAATCCACTTTAATGGAACACAGGATGGTGAAAGCGCATACACAATATTGAGGGTCAGTGATGGCAGTTTGCTAATGAACCATTCCATTATGGAGTGACCTAGTCAAAGTGGCTTCTAAGATTTACAAATCTAATTCAACACAAAATCACTTGTTTCTAACTGTCATAATCGAAATGTGATTCACTTGAAGTGTCTATGATCTACATGATACTTTTGTTATGACAAAATTAACAAAACTGCCACCCTGGAGAAAACAGATTACATCTTATCAAATTCAAGAAACTAGAAGGCAGCAAAGTTTGCAAAGCAACTAAACAATTTCCAAAAGTTCTTGCATGATATTTTCCATTGAGTGAAACTTTACTGATTAAATAGAACATAAACAAAAGGTTTGATGTACTCTAGTGGATTTTTTATTACAATTCTCCGAGTGCAAGGAGAAATCGTCATGATTTTCCATTAAATTAAAATAGAAAACCTTCCTAAACTTGATGAATGGCATTGAACTAGCCAGGATCTAGCCTGATGATATCAGGCAGTGAAGTTAGACTTTGTGCAGGAAGTAGCTGATGAATGCAAAGGAATAATCATAGTCAACAGAATAATAAATCATATTGCCAGTACAAGCTTGAAGTAGTAATGTTGAAATAGTACAGTGCTCCATTCAGGCCATTACGTGCACAATGCATTTATTTTTAATTACCAGGACATGACTTCTAAATTTATCCTGAGTGGTGATATAAACAGCCTGCATAGGGGTGATATCTGAGCTGTGGATACAATAGTGAGGCCATCACCTGTTAGTATACTAGGACACGTTTTACCATAAATAGTAATGTAATTGGAATTTAATATTCATTAATCAAAAACAAAATAATACTAAATGTCAATATGGTGTAATTTTGTAGTGAAGAATAATCTTTTTCTTGTAATGATACTATACACTCAACAATGTACTTTAAGTAATATTTCAATTAAGACCCATTTTGAATCTGACTAACTGTCTTTTAAGCTTACTCATGCATGTATTGTTCTATTTCCTTCAGACTGATAAAGGATGCTGGGATCAAGTTGCAGTCTCTCCTTCAGTCTGGGGTTGAGCAACATGTTGCCTGGAATAGCACTTCTGTACAGCTTGCAAGGGCTGCTGTTGTAAGATTATCGTTTATACGTTCTCATTTCCTTGGTCAAAAAGTAAACATTGATTAAATATTAATCCATAATTATCTTGCAGTTACATTTTCTCCGAATCACCATTCTTCCTTGCATTGATGCTGGGATAACAAACCACAAATTGGAATAGCTTTACCTGTACGCTCAAATCACAAATTGATTCCACCCTGAGAGAGCAAAATGACTTCAAAAAGTCATATTGGGATATGAGGGAGATAATCATAAATAAATAAAGCCTTGATATGTTCAGCCAAAGAAAAAGTACATTTAGATTTCATGCAAGGGATAGAGTCCCACTTGATGACAGAGTGTGAGGATGTTCCATAAACTGAAGAATTGATGTGTGAAATTTCAACCCCAGACTACAGGGCTACTTTCGCATTAGAGAGACAGATGACTGGATGTGGTTTAACCTGAGGCTAGGGGAGAGGTTGAGAAGGAGAATCCTTCATGGTAACTTCAACTACTTATGTATGAATGATTTACTTCCTGATAACATAGATTATTTCAGTGTAAACTACAAATGTCCACAGCAACATATCATGTCATCAAGCTCTATTGTTTTCCATCTTCAAATTTCACAAGTATCTTCTCATGTTCGTTTAATAATTTGCATTAATTTTACATTGGTATGTGGAGGCATTGAGAAAAAACATGTAGGTTGAAACATGAAAATTATTTCAATTAATCTAACTTGTCTGGTGTAAGATCTGTCTCCATAGATCATTTTCATGTTTTTTGCCTTTGCCAAACATTCTGCAGTAAAGTCCTGCCGTTTCTGAAATTGCTTGGCCTATCCGTGACCAGATGTATATTTCAAATCGATATGCAGCACTTAACTTTTGATTCACTTAATGTCTTAGATTATGTTAAACAAAAGAAAATTTCCTGATGTAAAAATATGCACTGCATTTAATGGTTTGATTTTCATTTGTTTATTAGAATACCAGCTTCTTAACTGGATCTTTTAGCTTTTGTCTAGTAAAGTTTTTTTTTTAAACAAATCCCTGAGAACTATGCAATAGTGAAAGAGTTAATTGGGATAGAATTAGTTTACACAACGTATTGTATTGGTAATACGCTATTTCTGCTGTCCCCACTGACTCCATTATGTAATAAATCAAATATAATCATAACACTGATTCATTTTGTTCCAAACTTCAGTCAATACTTTTAGTAGGAAACCTTTGTTGAGAGAAGGTTTATATTCCATTGTTGTGTTTGGGGTTCCATTTATTTTGTGTTTTGACTTTCCAGGCTCACTGCCATTACATTGTTGTGAAGAACTTTGTTGAGACACTGGATGGATTAAAGTTTGAGCCTGAAATCCAGCAAGTGATCAAAATGTTGTGTGATCTTTACGCATTGATTGGCATACTGGACAATGCTGGGGATTTCCTATATGATGGCTATCTGACTGGAAAGCAATTAGACTTGATGACTGCCTGTCAACTGCATCTTCTATCCCTTGTCCGGTAAAGTGACTGCTTTGTATATGTTCCACTTAAATGAGAAAAAAAAACGTATAGATCAAATGTATTTTGCAGTCTTCAGTTTGTAATCAATCAGGTGAAACAAAAAACTGCCGATTGTTGGAAAGTGGATTTCATTACTATCATAAACTCCATTTAGTTACTTGCTTTTGAATGCAAGGTTGACCAGATTTACCTTTCAAAACAATATGCAGTGCTTACCATTTGCATCTCTTCGTGTCTTAGATCATGCTGAACAAGTTGGTGTTTGTAATTTGGTTCATGTCTAGCTGGGACTATAGGTACTGCAGTCATAGACCCAGTACTGATGTAAATAGGGCCAGTGATTTAGTTCTGATAGATGTTTTGATGCAAAAATATGAAACATTGGTTTCTGTTATAAAATCAGTTCAATTTATGAGTTGGAAATTTCAAGAAAGCCTACTTGAAAACTGTTCAATCCAAAGCCCAAATTAGTTCAAATCTTATTAGTTATCTATTGTAACGTTTCTTGAAAAGCCAAAGGTTTTAACTGCAGTTGAGTACTATTGTATACAACTGAAAGTGATGAATTCATCTCCAAGGACACATCTTAAAACCAGAAAAGCAAAATGTCAGCAAGCTGATTTCGGCAAGTAAGTTGTTAATTTTTGTTTTGTATTACAATGAATAACAGCACTTCCATTAATATTTATATGAATATATAGAAACATATTTTTAAATGAAAAATTGTTTTCAGGAAAGAGGCTGTCTCGATAGCTGATGCATTTGATTATCCTGACGAACAGCTGAATTCTGCGATTGGTACTTATGACGGCCTTGCTTACCAACGCCTTTTCGAATGGGCTCAGAAAGCCCCCACAAATGCAAAGGTATCCTGAGCTTCATTAATTGGAAACACTACATGTACAAGTAGTTATTCAGTGACGTTGCATGGAAGATTTCTTTTGTGCACAAATGTTTTATGTCATGACTCACTGAAATAGTCTGAAAATCGGCCCCACTATTCCTGGGGTTGTCACAAAAGTTAAAGTTCTTTTAAACGTACACAATGATTCCTTCAATTTACCGGTCTTCTAGTCCCAGTTTTCTATACTTAACAAGAATTACCAGGTATTACAAGTAATTGAAATCTAACTACAGGTAAACAATTATAAATAGCATGGTCTTCTGAGGTTTGTACAGGGCAACCACCCAGGTTAAAGGGAATGTTGGTTACAAACCATTGCCATATAACACTAGTAATTAAAACTGTAATCCCTTTACAAACCCCTTTTATATGCGCACATGCAGGTAACCAAACAGGGAAAATAGAAAAGTAGTTCAGTAGCCTGTGTTCTCAATATCTGTTAAGTTGGTCCTTTCAGAAGGTTTCTTTTCTATCTTCCATTTCTAAATGCTTCCACTAGTTTTCAAGAGGCAGAGTAGCTGGTTCACTTAAAAATGTTTCTTGACATATCATTTAAATGTCACAACTTACAGCAACAGCAGAAGGAAAAATAAACTGGTTTTCTTCAGAATAAAGTGGGTTTTGACAGCAGACAACAGAGAAAAACCTCCTGAGCTGGCGGAGATCTGATCACTTCTCTGGATCTCGTTTCCAGCCTTAAGCTGTTCAGTTACCTGAAAACCATTCACACAGGGAAAAGGCATTGTGGTCACCAGTCCATAGACCAATTAACTTCTTGTTGCCAAGTAAAGTTCTATCTGAGTACAACGATGCAGGCCATTAGTGTCAGGTTTTCAAAACATGCTGCAATCCTTGTAAAATACTGGCTTTAAAGCCGTTCTTTCTCATTTCAGGCCACAATTTATAAAAACACTGAAATAAAAGGATAGTCTTTAAACTTCGTTAGAACACACCCACAATTCTGCTATAAACAAAGAAATCTGCTTTTTTTGCCAATCTGTCCCCACAATATTTGGCCTAACCAATGACACCCAAATCCTATGAAAGAATAATAAAACAAAAATTGTCCTTTAATTTTCTGCGTTCAATATTATTGGGGTTATTAACAATAATTGTCAAAGACTGTTAGCTATAACAAAAACTAACTTTATTATAACCTATTTACAGTTATAAGCACATTTCCTTATACTAGCTTCTTTCCATGTTACTTTCTCTTATAATCATGAACTCGGAGAATCCGTGTCACTTCCCCTTTCGAGATCAAAGATTATTAGTTAATCCTTTTTAGGTCGTAGTCCAATAAATAGGCCATGGACTTGCTCGCCGAGCCAGTCTGTTTGATTGCAGATGTTTCATCAACCTTCTAGGTAACCACATCAGTGCACCTCTGGTGAAGCATTGGTGTTCTGTCCCGCTTGTTATTTATATGCCTCAGTTTGCTGGGGTGGTTGGCATCACTGTTTTTTCAGTGGTTTGTATATCGGGTCCAGTTCAATGTGTTTGTTGATGGAGTTCCAGTTGGAATACCAGGCCTCCAGGAATTTCCTGGCATGTCTCTGTTTGGCCTGTGCTATTATGGACGTGTTGTCCCAGTCCAATTTATGATCTTCTTTGTCCGTGTGTATTGAGACCAGTGAGAACTGGTCATGACTCTTGGTGGCTAATTAGTGTTCGTGTATCCTTATTGTCAGTTTTCTTCCAATTTGGCCTGTGTAATGTGAGAAACAAATATGATGTACAAACCACTGAAAAACAGAAGTGGAAGTGATCCCACCATCCCAGCAAACTGAAGCATATAAATAACAAGCGGGACAGAACACCAACGCTTCACCAGAGGCGCACTGATGATGTCACCAAGAAGGGTGACGAAACGTCTGCAAACAAACACACTGGCTTGGCGAGCAAATCTTCTCAAACTTTCAATAAATAGGCCGTCCCTGAGTTGCAAACAAATTCCATTCTTGACACTTTGTAAGTATAAAATAGCTATTGATAAGTACAGGAAATGTTTGTACATCAGATCTTTACAATTATACCCCATATGGGATCCCATTTGTAAGTACGGGCGTTTGTAAATTGGGAACCCCCTGCACATCATTATACTACAGCTTCTGCTTGTACAAAATTGAAAGTACCAGTTGGTGCAGTTACTGGAGGAGGGAACTTTCTATCTGGTAATTGGTAAATGTCATTTGGTTTGTTCACTACAAATATTGATGCAAAAAAGTGAAATCAATAACTAATATTCAATTCAGTTATTGAGTACAATTGTTAACTTTCCATTTCACTCTTTTCCCCCTCCTCTACCGAGAATCAAATTGGCCTTGAGCCAGATGTGAGGTAAATTCTGTTTTAAAATTTACATTTGTCTTTTCCGAGTAGTGATATTTGCTTTCTTTCCCAGAAATGACATTCAGGTACATATTTCTTGCATTTTTGGTAGCCTAAGCATCCAATTTGTGCTGCGGACTCAAGTAATGATATCGTGCAATATTGTAAGGTGGATCAATAAGTTTGAAATCACACCAGCTAGTTCATTTCCTTATCTCCATTAACCTCATCAAGACATCCATTTGATCCCAGATTGGACACCATCCTTGCAATACTGTACATGTTGATTTGTATTTTTGGAGTGAATGAAAAAGAAAGAACTTGAATCCACATAGTGTCTCATGCTTGAATGTCTTAAATATGTTTATTAATTATTTTACAGCCTATTAATTATTTTAAAAGTAGTCTCTGTTGTTTAATAGGCATATGCAGAAGCCAATAGGCACAGCAAGTCCTATGAACAGCAAATAAATACCTAGACTGTTTTGATTGTGTTTAAGGGCTAGACTCTGGCTCAAACATTGGCAAACCTCCCCAACTCCTCACTGAGAGTTTTGTAGGATTGGTCGTATCTGCTGGGCAATGTTTATATGTCTCATCTTTTTTTAAAGAAAAAAGTGCCTCAAACAGTGCACTACTCCCTCAGTACTCCACTGTGTCAGGCTAGTCTGTAAGCCCAAGTCTTCTGAATCAATCGGATTACCACTGACATGAGAATAACAGGGAAAACATTTACAGTGCTATTGGGAGAAGAAAAACTGGTGAGTGAAACTAACTGGATAACTCTTTATAGATCAGGCCCATTGGCCTGAATGACCTTTTTCTGTATCATTCCATAATTCAATAAGGTGAACCTCATCTTGTGACAGTGGTTAACTGTTCTGCTGCTAATGAAACAACATTTTCTGGAGTTTCGTTTCCAACATCCCTTTCCTTCTGTAATTATCTTGCATTCTTGTCAGCTAGAGCTGATTACACTTTCACAGAGATAAGTGAATTAAGCAATGAATAAGGTTGAATAGTACATAGGATCAGTTAGAATGCATTGATTGTAATTTGTCTAACTTAGACAAGGGAGAGTTGTGGAGCTTGGAAAGCAGACCCTGCGGTCCAACTCATCCATGCCAACCAAGTTTCCCAAGAATTGAGTATAGATTGGATGGAGGTGTTCAGAATCATGGGGTGACTTGACAGCGTGGATAGAGACAAACTGTTCCCATTGATGAAAAGATTGAGAACCAGAGGACACAAATTTAAGGTGTAAGACAAAAGATGCAACCATAACGTGAGGAAAGATTATGATACACTTGGAGTGGTTAGAATCCGGAATGCTGTACCCAAGTATAGAGGCAAATCCATCCAAAACTTTGCTTCCTAAAGAGAACTTCATAAAGATTTGCTGAGTGGTTCCAGGAAGGTGGAGATGATACGACTAGCTAAGTTGTTCTTGCATGCTCGACTACTGAATAGTGGCCTCCCATGTAGTAACCATTGTTTCAGGATTCAAAAGGTTGTTGCAAAAAGAATAACAATTGCCAATCTCTAGTTATATCTTCCATCAGTTAACACCTGATGTGATTTGCCAATCCAGAACTATCTCAGTAAGAGAATCATGAGGACACAGTCCACAATTTTTCAATTTCACGTGAGACAAACATGAGATGTTAGAATTCACTCTCATGGCTCAAAGTATGTTAAGCTTTGCTGGTTCATAATGTGCTTTCATTCGTGCATTTATTGAAAATGTTTATTAGTGGTTAAGAATGGTATTGCCAATCTAGAAAGTGTTCAGTTATGAGAACAGATCTTCACAAATGCAGTAAAAGTTATTTAATACTGTAAATTGGTTTCAGATTTTGATCTTGTTCTTTAGGCTATGTATTGGAAATAAATAGCATTAGTTATGAAATTTCATTGAAATGCAGGGATATTGTTTCAAAGATAGAGCAGGTTTTTTTTTACATTTACTGTTGTCAACATTTGAAAGTAAATAGATTACTAGATTTTTGTTTCCACAGGTTAATCCTGCATATGAGAAATATCTGAAGCCTCGCTTTCGATTAGCACAGTCCAAGCTGTAACTTTCTGGCTTTGTTTTGCTGCTGATTTTAATGGTCAAGGCCATGTTAACAGCATGGAACGTAAATTTCTAGAGTGATTACAAATGGCCACCGTGGCTCTTGACAGGCAGGTTCATTCACAAATATAATGCAAACATCAGTAGTTGAACTAAGGTTCGATTGATTTCTAATGAATATCTACTTGTTTTCAGAGTAACTGAATATTCTAACTCAGTGTCTGATCTATTATACCAATAATTTCAGAAGGTTCAGGATTTGAATGCATTCCCTTTTATTCTGCTTGCAACTATTATTAAACATTTTCTGTATCCATCAACCTGATCAGATTTCATTTAATGTACCGTATGTTAACTATTAAATAAACCAGAGATAATGCTGTTTCATTACCAACAATTTTTCTGAGAACCAAATAATGTAACATTTAAGTTGTGTGGTCTCCTTTCTCCTACTTCCCCACCAAACTCACACCTGCAAGTTTATGCTGGTCGTGTAAGTATATGAAAACTTTCAGGGTGGAAATATAGAACTCAAGATCTCCAATGGATTTAACTCAGTAAAATTTCACTTCAGTTCAAGTTCTGTCAGATTCCTGATCAAAATCTCCAGCTAACACATGGAAAGCAAATTTCTTGCACGTGACACTACTTGGGCTACAGACTCCAAATTCAAAACAGCACGTCCTAAAATTAAATACACAGTACACCGGTTCAGTTTGGCGATCTTAATTCAGTAACAAAGGCAAAGTAATTTTTAAATTATTTGGTTACTGTAGAGAATTAAAATGTTACCTCAACACTATACTTGAAAGAATATTGCTACTCACAACACATTTTGAGAGTCCCATTCAGTTCCCAATACCCAAACTTATAAAATAAATTAGTTTGAGTAATGCTGCTTCAGCTACACAATGATTTTAAAGTAATAAATGGCAGTTTACAGTAGATCATGCTCAGCAAAATTTCTGGTGGTACTAAAATATATATTCAACATCTGTGTGTTAAACTATGGTTGTAATCCAAAAGATATGTTTACATAAATGTAATATACGTAACATTATAGTATGTAGAATACACTGCAAAGCAAGTATATTATATCAGATGAACTGGTGCAAAAGTTCCCAATTATTGTGCTTGCTTTTAAATAAAACTAGCTAGTCTCCGCTATTACAGTGTGGGGTAAGTACGCAAGACTCACTGTTTCAAAGGTTTAGCAGAACAATGCAAAGAAAATGAAGTAAACATTTCTCCATTTGGTTGTTGCAGAAATATCAGCTCTAAACATTGCTTACTAGTTTCTGTTGAATTTTTGTACACATTTACCACTTTAAAAAGCTGAAAAGTTTTTTTTTTAAACAAAAACAAAGTAGCAAGGGTTTATCAGATCAGCAGTAATCTCGTTGAATGGCAAAACAGGTTATTGGGCTGAATGACCTACTTCTTGTAGATCTTAAGTTTTGCGTTGAAGTGCTCAAATGCAAAAAATTGATTTTGCAAAGGACAAAGTTACACTTGCATAGGTGTATCATGGAAATTCCCAGATTTTAAAAATCAGCTCATGTTATTTTCATTTGAATATACTTTGTTAGGCAGAAATTTCACATACCAAAATCTTTACTTAAGAGATGTACAAAGACAATATTTTGATCTTTTCAATTTATTTCATCAGTATATGGAGAGAACAGGGAAAAGCTACAATTTCATGTATTTGCTTGAGGAAATACAAATCTAGAACATACTGTTAATAGAACATTAAAGGAATATACATCGTACATTTAATACCTTCTTTCAACAGCATCATTTGGTTACAATATGCATAGGAATACTTTGCTATTGTACAAAAAGTAACTTTTCAATAGAAGAATTGAAGAACATGGTTACCTGGATATTCAATTACATTGTGCCATAACTATTCATTATAAAATTTACCACTAAGGATGGTCAGTCTTCAGTTTTTCGTGCCAGCCTACAAAAGGTCCAGTTGTGTTCCACTGTGTTCTCGTTGGCTCTCTCACTCATGTGATGTACCCTTGTCATTCTGATGGTAAAGCCTTGCTTTGCAATGTACTCCATCAGATGAACACGAAGAGACACCTCCTGATGATAATCGCAGGGTCCAAACGTGAAAGACACTTGGAAGTCTCTGGTATCCATCATGTGTTTATTCCATTTTGTGAAATGGTTTGAAATACCCTCCAGCAGCGAATGAACTTTAGTAGTGACAGTCAGTTGTGTGATTATAACAGCTACTGGATTTGAATATTTGGAAAGTTTGCGCGTACTAGACAGTTCCACCACTTCCTCAAAGGTATCTAATGGGTACAGGGGCTTGGGATCATTCAGACAGTGAATCAAAGGCTCTATCTGATAAAAGTCAGCCTCTTTTCTCAGGAGGTCGATTTCTTTAAAGCCATGAGGTAGTGTCAAAGCTGCAGTCCTTAAAAAATTCAAGATGTATCTGAAGAGAGGTCCATCTCTATCAATGAAGTAGTTTCCTTGAGAGTCTTTGGCAGTGGGGAAGTCACCCCTAAACATGACTCCTAACATGGAGTCTGGGTATCTGGTTAGTGTGGATATTGATGTTGAATATAAGTGTCCGCCTACATTAAGGGTGACAGGATCAGCCATCTGTAATAAGAAAAGTAAAGTTAGGCCATGAATTGTTATAACAAACTACTTTGTCCATATTACTGTAGTCAGACATATCACCCAATTTATGTAAAACCTTTTCAATCTCCAAATGATATTTTTTAGAAGAATAAAAATCTCATGACATTTTAGGTTAAAAACAATATGCAAACCAACATTCCAAGTTCATGTAATTTTGAAACTCAGTGACTGTTAAGGCACCAAATTCAAATTAAGAAATTCATTTTCTAGATTCCAAACACTGAATAAAATTTTGTAGGTTTTTCTTTTCTGCAAAGTTCAAATATTGCTGCTGCATAAGTATATTCTTTAGGCAATATACATATAATTTTTTGACTGAGAGAGACATCAAGGAGCCCTAGCATAACCAGGATCAACGGGAATCAGGCAAAACTTCCTACTAATTGTAGTCCTACCTAACACTAAAGGAAAATTAGGGTGGTGCATGTGATCAGCAATCTCTGCAGGAGTTTCTCGTTCCCCATTCTATCCATTTACTAATGAAATCCATCTTTGGCTGCTTCAATGACCTTCCCTGCATCGTAATGTTACGTGGCAATGTGCAGTGATGATTGCACAATGTCAAACAGAATTACAACTCCTCAGACACTACAGCAGACCATGTCAAATGGAGCAAGACCTGGATAATATCCAGACTAGGGTTGACAAATGGCAAATAAGATTCATGCCAAGCAAGTGCCAGATAAAGTCCACCTCCAGCAAGAGAGAACGTATCCATTTCCCCATGACATTCAATGACATTAGCATAACTGAATCCCCCACTATCAACATTCTAGGGGTTACTACTGACCATAAATTGAATTGGACTAGCCACATCAATACTGAGTCTACAAGAATAGGTCAGAGATCAAGGGTTGAAGATGAGTAACTCACCTCCAGACTCAAGTCTGTCCAGCATCTACAAGGCACAAGTTAGGAATGTGATAGATCCACTTCTCGGATGTGCACTGCTCCAAAACTCCAAAAGTTTGAAACCAGAGAATAAAGCAGCCTAATTGATTGGCACCATATCAACAAACCCACTCTCTTCAGGTCTTTTCAGCACCTTCCAAACCCTTGACCATTTCCATGTAGAAGGACAACAGCAGAAGATACTAAGCCTAACCACCATCTGCAATTTCTTCTCCAAGCCATTCATCATCCTGACTTGGAAATATATTACTGGTCCTAGTGTCACTGGGTCAAAATGCTGAAACACCCTCCCTAATGGCATCGCGGGTGCCCCCATCCAACACCAAATAAATTGCAAACACACTAAAGCTTGGAGCAGCTGCTGCCAAGACACAGTGGGGAAAAACCACCATAGAGTCATAGAGATAAACAGCACGTAAACAGAACCTTCTTCGGTTCAACTCATCCATGCTGACCAGTTATCCTAAATAGTTTTAGTCCCAATTGTCAGCATTTGGCCCATATCCTTCTAATCCCCCCACATTCATATACCCATCCAGATATTTTTTAAATGTTGCAATTGTACCAACCTCCACCACTTCATCTGGCAGCTCATTCCATACACGCACTACCCTCTGCGTGAAAAAGCTACCCTTTAGATCCCTTTTATAGCTTGCCCCTCTCACCTTAAACCTATACACTGTACTTTTCAACATTCCCACCCCAGGGAAAAGACCTTACCTATTTACCCTATCCATGCCCCTCATTATTTTATAAACCTCTATATGGTCACCACTCAGCCTCTTACGCTCCTGGGAAAATAGCCCCATTCTATTCAGCCACTCCCTAAAGCTCATACCCTCTAACCCTGGAAACATCCTTGTAAAGATTTAAGGACCTGAGGGGCAGCTTCTTCACGCAGAGAGTGGTGCATATATAGAGTGGGCTGCCAGAGAAAGTGATTGAGGCAGGTACAATAGCAACATTTAAAAAACATTTGGGTAGGTATATGGATGGGAAGGGTTTAGAGGGATAAGGATAGTTAGAGGGAATTGGAACTAGCTGAGTGGGCACCATGGTCAGCATGGACCAGTTTGGGCCAAAGGGCCTGTTTCCATGCTGTATTAATCTATGACTCTATGACCTCCCAACTCCTATACTTGATGCATTGACCAATAAAGTCAAGCATACCAAATGCCTTCTTCACTATCCTATGTACCTGCGAATCCAGTTTCAAGGAACTGTGAACCTGCACTCCAAGGTCTCTTTGTTCAGCAAAACTCCCCAGGACCTTAGCATTAAGTGTATAAATCCTGCCTTTACAAAATGCAGCATCTCACATTTATCTAAATTAATAGATAAATGAATTAATCTGCCACTCCGCAGCCCATTGATCAGATGGGCCAATATCCCATTGTAGCGTGAGGTAACCTTCTTCACTGTCCACTACACCGCAAATTTTCGTATCATCTGCAAACTTACTAACCATCCTCCTATGTTCACATCCAAATCATTTATACAAATGACAAAAAGCAGTAGACCCAACACCGACCCTTGTGGCAGAATGGCACAGGCCTCCAGTCTGAAAAGCAACCCTCCACCATCACCTCTGTCTTCTATGTTTGAGCGAGTTCTGTATCCAAATAGCTAGTTCTCCCTGTATTCCGTGTAATCTAACCGCTAACCAGTCCACCATGAGGAATTGTGTTGAACACCTTACTGAAGTCCATATAGACCACATCCACCACTCTGCCCTCATCAATCCCTAAGGTCTTTCTGCCAAAGTACAACGGGGGGGCTTCCTTTTAATTATTGGACCCTCCTGATGCCTCAGATGAATGCCTATAGATTAATTTTAAGTATAGAGAAAGCCAAACTGAAATGTTTCCTCTCTGTAAGTAAGGTCAGTATAGATCTGAATGACTTTATTAACTGTGTATGCACATAAAGATTTCTTTTTATGAATAAAGCATATTTTTGCAATAAAAATGTTATCAGTTAGTATTTGATACATGTAAATAGTCCCTAGCCTAAGTAAGAAGAAATGCTTTTAGATTAGTTGTAAGTTGAGAAAGTCAAACTCCAATGTTTGTTTTCTTCTCCGTATGAAAAGATTGTGTAGCTCTGAAATGCTTTATTAATTATGTACATAAATATTCTTTTCTATGAATATATTTTTGCTAAAAAAAACTGCAGTGGTTCAAGAAGGCAACTCACCACCACCTCAAAGGCAGCGAGGGATGAACAATAATCGATGGCCAAGCCAGGGATGCCAAACTCCCGTAAATGAATAAAGGAATAAGTGTACCGCCTATTTAATTTTTCACTGTCAACGTTGTTATACCTTCTATCTGCTTAACTAATATATATTAAGATGACCACAGGATGCAAAAACAATATGTTCAAGTGAACTCGTTAAAATGAATCACGAACCCTTTCCCTCATGTTAATTCATCTTCAGACGAGACGCCTAAAGACGGTAGTGGATGCAATTAAATCGAAGCCACCAATGAAAGACGATAGAAAACTAATCATGCTTTTGCCAAAAAAAAAGCTGTTTAGTTCAGGGTGGATTGAATTATACTCAAATGTCTGCGATATGAAGCCAGTCTGTGATTCCCTCCGCTTCTCCGGACACACACACAAACGTGAGGCTGAGCGGCCGCAGCTCCACTGGACCGACGGGTCGGGCAAGGAGCCGCCTGTCCGGCCGCCACGCAGCAGCTCCATCCCGTAACCGAGCCCCCGGCTGCTGCGGCTCAGACGCACTCGCCAGTGAGACTAACAGCAGGCGCCCTGGCACCCATCCATGCTTGTTCTCATCGGCCAACCCGGTTCTTACCGCTTGGCCCCAGTCTCCATTATCCATTCGCTCCGAGCTCTTTGATCAAAGCTCAGCTTTCTCCGCGCAGCCAGCGCCGTCTCCGCGCATGCGTGCGCTGACGTGCAGACAGTGGGCATGCGTACTAGCTGCCATCATGGCGTGCCACTTTGAACTGGACACTGCCATCTTTGATCAAGGAAGTACGGTTTTTGATCAAAATGAGGACTTGCTCATAAACGGAGCTGCGGAGACTTCAAGAGGGAAATCCAGATACTCAAGGGATTTTCAAGTTTTTTAAACATATTCTTGACATTAATGTTTAAATACTGCCTCGAAAAAGTACTCAAGTGACTCAGAAGCCAATTATTAAAGCATTATTCAGACCAGTGTAGACCTCGGCTAATATTAAGATAAATAAAGGTAATTCGCCTCAAGAAAACCTTTGGAAACTGACTGAAAATCTGGCCTTTGCACAAGTAATAATGGTAGTAAATGGCATCCGTTCTGGACAAACTGCAACAATATCGTTTCGTTATCCAGACAATTAACATAAAAATTATAATTAACCTCGCTACATTGTAATAATCCTTAAGTGAATGGCTGCGCCTCAAAACACATTGAGAAGTCTGCAGCACTGATTGAAAAAACGGCTATTTACATTTGACAATAACGTTTTCTAAAATCTTTGCATTTATACTCGCCCAAGCTAAAACAAAATAATCTAAACATTTTGCAATTATAATAAGTTACAAAAAGAACAGATGAATGACTATAATGAATGTTTCTAAGTATAAATATTGTCATTACCGTTATTCTATAGTTGTCTGCTATCAAACAGCGAGCAATGTGTACAGTATATCAGCTTCGTGCAATGAAACAGATGGTTTTCTGATGAAGGGTCTAGGCCCGAAACGTCAGCCTTCCTGCTCCTATGATGCTGCTTGGCCTGCTGTGTTCATCCAGTTCTACACCTTGTTATCTCTATTTCCTCCTCCCTGTTGCTTTGGCAATCCACTCATCAAAACGAGCAACCAACTCAAATGCTTCTAAACCTGAATAAATTATACAATATTATTTCCTATAGTGTCAAACCCAAGTATGTAATTTATGAGCAATTTAAAATGTTAGGAAATCCAACATGAAAGGTATTTGTAAATTATGATTTGAATAAGTTTGAATATATTATTCGTGAAAGTCTGCTTCCATACATGTTTATAATTTGTTTGCTTTTTTTATTCACTAATGGGATGCATAAGTTGCTGGCAATGCCAGTATTTATTGCCCATCCTAACTGCCCTCAAGAAGGTTGTAGTGAGCTGCCTTCATGAACCACTGCAATCCATTTGCTGCAGTTAGACCCACAATGTCGTTATGGAGGACATTCCAGGATTTAGACCCACCAACACTGAAGGAACAGCAATATATTTCTAAGTCAGGACTGAGAGAGGTTTTCAGAGAACTTGCAGGTGGTGGTATTCTTATGTATCTGCTCCCCTTGTCCTTCTTAACAATAGTGGTCTTGGGATTGGAAGGTGCTGTCTAAGGGGCTTTGGTGAATTTCTATGTGCATTTTATAGATGATACACACTGACACTACTGAGCATCAGTAGGAAGTGGAGTTGAAGAGTGAATTTTGTGGATACAATGCCAATCAAGCGGGCTGCTTTGTCCTGGATGGTGTTAAGCTTCTTGAGTGTTGTTGGAGCTGTACCTATCTAAGCAAATGGGGAGTAATTCATTACACTCCTAATTTGTGCCTTAAAGATGGTGAAAGGGATTTGAGGAGTTGGAAGGTGAGTTACTCACTGCAAGATTCTTAGCCTCTAAACTGCTTTTGTAATCATTGTATTCATATGGCTAGACCAGTTTAGTTTCTGGTCAAAGCTTTTAGTCAATTCACATCTTTATGTCCCAAGCATTTAGTTTACTTTCTGTAAAATGGTAATAAAAAAGGAAACATAATCATTTCTAATTTTGCTTCCTGATTTGCTGGGTGACAGTATGAGAAATGTGATTAAACTGGATAAGCAGCCAATGACATTTGTGTTGCTGAAAACCTAGCAATCCCTGAGATTCAAATTAATGTTGGGGAAGTACAAATTCACAGGACAAAGACAGCTAAATCTTTATGAGTAGCTTTCTTCGATGTCAACAGCGACTGCCATGACTTCACTGTTGACTGTAAATTCTGAGCCAGTTATTTCTCTGTGTCAATCCAATTGCATCCTTACCTCATTTATTTGATTGTACCTCAACTTTCATGTCAAGGGGATACAAGGTTATGGAACTACCCAAATAATTTAATCCTTTAAATCCTCTAATTCCTTCAGTGCTTCCAAGGACAATACACATTTCCTGAAGTTCAGGGCCGAAACTATTTTATCTCCAATTGTTTTGGTACTCGTGTGAAACGTGCTACATTCCTCCTTTGCTGTGTCACTAGTATTTTGTCCTTCTCCTTCGCTGTAACAGATATTGAGTGAAATCTTGTAGAGATAATGGGGTCTAAGTTGCCAGCAGGAAATGCTCATCAATTTTTAATAGTCTACCATATACTGTAACACTCAGGCACTTGATAGGTCAGAGACAGATCTTCTACTGGGATCTGCACTGGAGCATCCATTTCAACCACTGAGAGATGCCAGCCAATTAGAGGTTAGCAGCTCTTTTCAATGGCATTATGATTAAGGAGGAAGTAGCTGCTGCCAGTACGACACTCTCACAAGGCTGCCTCATAGGGTCATAGAGACGTACAGCACAGAAACAGACTCTTCGGTCCAACTCATCCATGCCGACCAGATATCCTAAATAAATCTCGTCCCATTTCCCAGCATTTGGCCCATATCCCTCTAAAACCCTCCTACCCATCCAGATGCCTTTTTAAGTGTTGTAATTATACTAGCCTCCACCACTTCCTTTGGCAGCTCATTCCATACATGCACCACCTTCTGCATGAAGAAGCTACCCCTTAGGTCCCTTTCATATCTTATCCTTCTTACCTTAAACCTATGCTCTCCAGTTTTGGGCTCTCCTATTGTGCGAAAAAGACCTTGGCTATTTACCCTATTCATGCCCCTCATGATTTTATAAATCTCTATAAAGTCACCCCTCAGCTTCCAAAGCTCCAGGGAAAATAGTTAGAAGCCTATTCAGCCTCTCCCTATAGCTCAAACGCTCCAACCCTGGCACATCCTTGTAAATCTTTTCTGAACTCTTTAACAACATCTTTGCTATAGCAGGGAGACCAAATTAAACACAATAGTCCAAAAGTGGCCTAACTCATGTCCTGTACAGCACAACATGACATCCCAGCGCCTCTGCTTAATGCACTGACGAAAACAGGCAAATGTACCAAACACCTTCTCACTACCCTGTCCCAACTGTGACTCCACCTTCGAGGAACTATGAACCTGCACCGCAAAGTTTCTTTGTTTCATCCTATGATATTGTTACTGATTCCATTCCAGAGGTGAACGATAGGAAAATGAATTGGCAGCAAGGGCTGGGGATGATTCTTGATGGGTTCTTCTTAAGTCAGGTCTAATAAAGGGTCACCTCTCCAAGACCAATTCCTCCCTATCTCACACCATCCCAGCAGCTTGCCAACAACTACAAATGGTGATGAAGGCTCCAACGGGCCTCTCACCATGCTTCTGTATTCATTATAGAGAATACAAAAACATTCCTGTAGTAGCTGTGAATCAGGATGTGGAAGGAAGAGAGGAATTTACAAAAGTAGCCACCAAGGAAGCAGTATTGAGCATGATGGAGCTGTAAACTAACAAGTCCCCTCATCCTGCCAGATTTCATCTCAGTCTTGAAAGAAGAGGCTAATGACATAGTAGATGCATTGGTGTAAATTTTCCAAAATTCACTAGATTCTGGAAAGGCTTCAACAGGTTGGAAATTACCAAATATAACCCCAATATTCCAGCAAGGAGGAAGGCAATGAAACAGGAAACTGTATGCCAGTTAGTTAGACATCTGTCGTGGGGATTGATCATTTAGGAAATTATAGATGGACATTTATAAAACGTCAAGGTACCTGAGAAGAGTCAGTGTAGTGTTGTGAAAGGGAAATCATGTTTAACCAATTTATTGGAGTTCTTTGAAGGAATAACTTGTGCTGTGGCTAAGGGGCAGTCCATTGCTGTACTATAATTGGATTTTGGGAAGGCATTTGACAAGGCACCACATAGAAGGTTATTCTGTAAATTAAAAACACATGGTGTAGGGGCAACATGCAAGGAAGAACTGAAGATTAGTTAGCTCACAAAAATTCAGAATAGGCTAAAATGGATTTTTTTCCTGATTTGCAGGATGCAACGACTGGAGTACTGCAGTGGTCAGCGATGGAGCTTCAATGTTTTACAATTTTCATCAATTACTTAAGTGGGGGAAACAAAGAAATGGTAGCTAATTTTTTGTTTGTTGTGAAGACGACATCAGGAGGTTGCAGACCAATATAAGTAGGTTGCAGACCAATATAAATAGGTTGAGTGGCAGACTTAGGTTAGGTTAACTCAACCTAACTTAATGGTTAAGTCTGGCAGACGGAGAACAATCTGTCAAATTTTTCACCTTCGTAGTATTAGGAATATATATTATTCTTTCAGTACTATGTGAAAGATGAGAAGATAAGAAACAATTTGGACATTTCCTAGATTGAAAAGGGTACTCTATAGTCTCACAAAGAATGAATTCAACAACTTAATATGTGCTGTAAGCCACCTGATGTTTACAGAAAATAAATTTTTACAGAAGCCAAGCAAAGAATTCAAGGAGAAAATAATTTGGTTTATGACCATAGATTACACAAAAATATGGTTTTGAAAGAAAATCACACAGGGGGGCTTCTATACTAATAATTGTCATCGCAGCCCTTTCTGGACTTCGTTTTCTATTTTACACTCTCAATGATCAGTAAGCAGCAAATTTCTCTCCTGACATCATTTTCTAGGTAAAGCTTGCTGGAAACCTGATAAAGTTCCCAAAGATAAGTATTTCTTACTACCATGTAAAGCCTGAAAGCTGGGCTGTGACCGCTTTCCAAAGACTCTGGTAAGGTTGATTGCAATCATTTTCCATCCACTGTCAGCAATTTGATTTCATCAACAGAAAACCTAGCTGACTACGAAGTCATCATATTCTATGTGTTTTCAACACTTGGCCAATAGTGGTGCTTTTGTCCCTTTTGCGTTTAGTTAAAGCATCATCTCTGCAGAGACTGTTGTCTTTTTGTGTTGAGTGAGAATTTTTGTGTTTGGAATCAATCTAATTCTGGATCACTGCTTAGCTGTTAACCTGTGTTTGCCACTTATTTGTAAGCCAAAGATTTATGTAATAAGAAATACATTATTTTGAGTTCATCAAAGAACCTGGTGTAGCTGTTTTATTCTGGATAATATTACAAAAGAGAAGCAATTGACCATACGGATGACTGAATCATAATCATGAACATTTATACTAATGGTGTGATTCGTGGAGGAGTGGGGTTAAATTGCTGGCAATTTCCTCCTGGGACAGTCAGAATGAAGTATGAATAAAATGGATATTACCTAAACAGAGAACAACCGCAAAATTCCAAAGTGCAGAAAGATCTAGGTGTTCTAGCGCATGAGTCCTAAAAAGTTAGTATCCAGGTATAGCAGATAACTAAGAAAACTAATGGAATACAATCTTACAACAAGAAAAATTATCATAAAGTAAGGATGTTATACTTCAGTTATACAGCACATTGGTGAGTTCACAATTCAAATACTGTGTGCAGTTTTGGTCTCTTTATTTAAGGAAGGATGTAAATGCATTGGAGTGATTCAGACTCAGTTTACTAGAATGATACCTGGAACAAGCAGATGTCTAACGAAAATAGGTTGGGCGGGACGGTTTTTATCAGAGTTCAAAAGTGCATGAAGTGACTTGATTGAAGTATACAACTACCGAACAGTCCTGGGGCAAGCTGGATGTGGAAATTAAAGCCTGACTATTAGGAAACACTATTTCCAATCCAGACCAGATTAAAATTACCCACTTACCCTTATAAGTAATTTGTGCTGATGATTCCTGAAGGTGGTGGCTCCTGTTACGAACCTGTCAAATCCATGAACAAAGTGAAATGGCATGAAAACCACGCAGCGATCAGTGTGCCATGTTCTGAGATTTAGATGTCCAGCCACTTTGACAACTTCTTTAAAACTGTAAGTAATAACTGGGGTTGAGTGCCAACTGGGTGAGGGAAGTAAGATGCCAGAATAGTGGGATGCCATCTGGGTAGGATGGCAGGTGGGTAGGGTACCAGATAAGTGAATGAGTGAGTGTTTTGGGTCGGGGCCTGTCGATTCCGGCGTTTGGTGGTTCATGGCTCACGCAGGCAGGAAAGGAGCTGCTCGGTTCCGGAGGTCAGGGTAACTGGTGTGGGTGGATCGGATCCGGGGAAGCGGAGGGGTGGGGGTAAGGCCAAGGGGAAGTCGGTTCCGTTCGGGTCGGGAAACGTCATTAGATCAGTCAGACAGAGAGGGTGGTCAGTTCTGGGAGACTTCAGGCTGTTAGCTGGTGTCAGTTCGGGTTGGGGGCTTAATTGTTGGTGTGGTCTGGAAATGAGGCGTCAAGTCTAGAGGCCTTCTGTCCGATGGTGTGGGAGAGTGTCGGTTCCAGGCCCGGGAGGGGGTCGGTGTGGGGTTGGTTGTGAAACTGGCCGGAGTTAGGGGGTCATGTGGTTCTGAAGGCCTGTCAGGTACAGCAAGGGAAGGAATGATGGAGCTAGTGTCCAGGAGAGAGCGGGAAACGGTCACGTATGACAGGTGAGATAACAAGGTGTAGAGCTGGATGAACACAGCAGGCCAAGCAGCATCATTGGAGCAGGAACGCTGACGTTTCAGGCCTAGACCGTTCTGAAAAAAATGACAGGTGAATGGTGGTGGGTGGACGACCTAAACAGGGGGAGGGGGTTGTGGGGGAGGGGGTGTAGAGGGGGATTGTGGTGGGGGTGGGGTTTGTAGGGGACTTGTGGGGGGGGCAGGGGGTAAGGGGGGGTGGGGGGGGCGGGGTTGGGGGAGGGGGGGGGGGGGGGGGTGGAGGGGGGGGTGGGTGGGGGGGGTGATGGGGGCGGAGTTTGTAGGGGGATTTTGGGGGCGGGGTTTGTCGGGGGCCGTAACGGCGGGTCACAAACAGATCGCTGGGCGAACTCAGCAGGTCTGGCAGCATCTGTGGTCAAAACGCAGAGTTAATATTTCGGGTCCAGCTACCATTCGTCAGACCTGATTGCAGTTTGGAAAAGGTTAGTACATAGACTGAAAACAACAAATGCTGGAGATCACAGCGGGTCAAACAGCACCCATGGAGCCATCAACGCCATGCGCCGACGTATGTGCACACTCCACTGTGCAGCAACACCGACTCACCCTGTCTCAAAGCTGCGCCGGTCCCCAGTCTCACTTCACCCTTTGCCTCATCCGTCGCCTCAACAAAAGACTTTTTCTCTTTCTTAAGGGCATCAAGGTGTGCAAGCTCCAGTAACTTATGGAAGGGCTCTGATGACGAGTCATCTAGACTCGAAACGTTAGACTGACTTGATGTGACCTCCAGCATTTGTTGTTTTCAGTACAGCTTCCAGCATTTGCAGTAATTTGTCCCTACATTTAGTATAGAAACTCATTGATTCTCCCAGACTGAACATTACCCATTTCTTAGTTTGCCCACAACAACAACTGTATCTCTCTCTGTCCTCAACCTCCACCAGTCGGTTACTCCTCCCCCTACCATGCTGAATTCTGCTTTCGCTCCGTAGATGCTGCCAGACCTGCTGAATTTTCGCGGCAATTTGTTTTGTTACTGATTTCCAGTACCCACAGTTAATCGGTTTATTTATTTAAGGCCTGATGGGGAGGCGGGGCCTGGACGAAGAGGGGTGTGGCCTATGGGGGAAACCAGCGAAAGGAGGCGGTCCTGCCGGGCGGGCGTGGTCACGTCGCGCCCTCATCGTGCGCGATGACGACAAAACGTTTCTATAATATATATTACAATTGGCCAACAATCAGGGCCGTTCTCAGTATTACACATTTTGATTGGACAACAGTTTACGTTAGTAAGATACCTAGAAGGGTATAGGCAAAATGGCGGCGCTGAGGAGTCTGTTTCATGGAGGGAAGGTGCGGGGGTTCTCTGCAATGGGGATGGAAATTCATCAGTTAATTGCAGCGGCTTCAGGAATTTGTATTTATGCAGTAACGTTGACTTGTCTTTGTTTGTACAGGATACTTTTGGTGTGTTGATACGGAAGAGGTTTCATCGGTCGGCTGTCGCCGCCGCTCAGGTAAACAGGGTCACCTTCGGTCACTGCCTGTGAATGAGAAGAGTTTGTTATTTTACTGCGGCCGGTTATCTCTGCTGTTTGTTTAGTCAAGAATCTGAGGAATTTTGCCTACACGTGTTTATAGACCTTCAGAAGAAGGGTCACTGGACTTAAAACGTTAACTCTGTTTTATCTCCACAGATGCTGCCAGACCTACCGAGTTTTTCCAACTTTTTTTGTTTCTGTCTTTATTTTAATTTTCCTGTTTTAACGACAGTTTTGTTCTCTGGTATTGTGAAATTAACAGTTAGGCTTTTGGAAGTCTTCAATTGAACGCCACTACTGAAAACAAACCCTTTTGATTGGATTAATGATTTTAATGGACGTTGAACAGATGTTTTCCTCTGGATAGCCTAGAAAAAGAGGTCATAAATGTACAGTGAGAGAAAGGAGGTTCAAAACTGAGATGAGGAGAAACTACTTCTCTGAGGGTTGTGAATCTGTGGAGGCCCCTGTCTTGGAGTGCATCATGGGGGAATCAATTATCAGATTCAAGAAAGAAATAGATACTTTTCTGATGAAAAGTAGATAAAGGTCTATGGGGACTGTAGTCATTGCAATGACTTCAACCAAGTGGACCTCATAGAATATTGATTGTGGCTGTTAACGTGGTCCAATCAGGGAGCCCTGGCTGACAGATATAAACAGGAATGTCAGAGGTTCTGTTCACTGAGAGCTGGCTCTGAGGAAGCCAGACAGCGTCAAGTACTATGCACATGCGAATGAAGGATAATTCAGTTTAAGGGATACCGGGGCTGCTGTGGAATTATTTCAGGGGTGACGAGAGTGGGATGTAGATATGGATGTGGATATGGCTGTTTTGGTGGGACAGTGCCTAGAGTGCCAACTAGGACAAAAATCACTGCTAGCAGCTCCCCCATGTTTGTGAGAATGGCTGGATAAACCCTGGACTCTGTTAGAAGTCGACTATACCAGTCCTTTCATGGGCTCAACGATGTTAGTCATGGCGGACACCCACTCGAAAGTGGTCGGACGTGCATAGTGTTCATTCATCAAACGTGGCAACAATAACTGAAAAGTTGCATCTTTTGCAATACATGCACTCCTGGAAGTGTTGGTCACAGACAGTGGGCCATCATTTACCAGCAGGGAATTTGAGTATTTAATAAAGCTGAATGGCATTAGCATTTAAACACCGCTCCATGCCGTCCATCATCCAGTGGTCTGGTGGAAAGAGCAGTCCAAACTTTGAAGGCAGGTTTAAAGAAACAGCCTAGAGCCTCGCTCAATACCGGACTGTTGATTATCAGACCACCCTTGTGCAACTACAGGGATAGCTCCAGCAGCGTTGCTAATGGGGATAAGACTCTGCACCAGATTAAATCTGATCTTCTCAGACCTGGGAGGGAAGGAGGTCGAAGAGAGTGAAACGGTATCGGGAACACTAACGCCAGACATGACTCCTCTACGTGAGAGAGACAGTTTACTTCAGGGGACGAAGTTTGGTGCTGATACCATGGAAAAGAGGAGTTCAAAAATGTGAATGATATTAATGGAATATTCTGTATAGATTAGAGTGTAAGGGAGCAATAGTGTTTTTACAGCACAGCAACCAAACTGTTAGGGTACATTTCTTGAGGATGATTGGCATTGATTACACACTAATAGAATCAGAATAAGTCATAGAAAGTGATGAAGCACCATGTACTTTGCATACTCAGACATTGGACTGTTGAGGACCAGATTATGGCAGGTGAATTGCTGACTGAAGACGGACAGTGATATAGAAACATAGGATAAGGTTATTTGCTTGGCTAAGAGGCAAGATCAGGTCCATGACGTACAAAATTCGGGTAGGTGAGACAGTTCTGAACAAGAACGTGGACGACATGAAAGTTGTAAACTTTCAAACAGACAGGAGCAAAATTTAACTGATCCCTCAACAGCTGGAAAGAAAGATTATCGAAACCCATAGGTTCTTGCCACTCCGTCTAACATGGAAGAAATCTCTGCATATGAAATGGGCATGCGGATGCTGTAGCCTTGACACCTTCACTGCCTGATAAAGAGGATGAATTTCTTCCAAGATGCTCCGAGCACAAGAGGTAGGCTGGTCCAGTACATGCCGCCCATATCGGAGGCTGAGTTAGAGGAACCAGCCTTGGTGCAAAACTGCCTCAGGAGAGGCTACAAGACAGGCCTATATCCCTGGATTTAGTGGGAGAGGGATGTAGTGATTACAGTGAGGTCAGCCAGGTGAACCTCATAGAATAAGTTCCCTGTTTGGAGCTGTGTTAGAGGTTCTGCTCACTCTGAGAAAGCCAGACCAGTGTCAAGTGCTACGCATGTGCAAGTAAAGGGTGATTTGGGGACGGGATGCTAGTCTGTCCAAAGTTATTTTGGGCAGTAGACAGGAAAGTGGAGTTGAGACCAGCATAAGATCAGCCATGATCATGTTAAATGGCAGAGCAGACTTGAAGGACTCAATTGCCTACTCTCTCTCCTAATTCCTTTGTTCCTATGTTAATAGTACCAGAAGTGCTTTTCTTAATTGTGAGCTTTGTTTATGGTTTCTTAATGGAATTTGTTAATTTTCATCACTATTTGTGTAGGACTGAGGAAAGGGCAAACAGAACATATAATATTTGGGAATGATTTTTGGACTGTGAAGTATCTGGGAGGAGGACTTGAAACTGATAAATGGAGTGATAACTAACTGACAATCAAAATGCCTGGGGCAAAATTTGAGCAAATATGAGAACTGTCAAACTGTCTACAAATATATTTTCCTAGATACTAGCGAATTAAAAGCAGCCAGTTATGTTTCACAATCCTGTCTTTCTATTTTAGGCATTTTTTTACTATTCTGCCGATTCATAATAAGTGAAGTAAAAATTCTAGCCTCTTATTAATCAGGTCGTTTCCATACTGTTCTAGTTGACCTATCGAGATGCTCTTACCCAGGCCTTGGATGAGGAAATTGAGAGAGATGAAACTGTATTTCTGCTTGGAGAAGAGGTAGCGCAGTATGATGGTGCATACAAGGTAAGCTACAGCTGGTGACCTACAACTCTTCAAACATCTGACACTAAATATGGCTGTAAATATTCATGGTTTTATATTTGCAGGTGAGTCGTGGACTGTGGAAGAAGTGGGGAGATAAGAGAGTCATAGACACTCCTATTTCAGAGGTATGTTTTATTAAGCAAACCATTCTATGTCTGATGTGCATTAACTAACTTCAAATGCTAAGATTGTTACACCTTTCTTTCAGATGGGCTTTACAGGAATTGCAGTTGGTGCTGCCATGGTATGTACTTCCAAATTTTTTTCTGTTATGAAACTGAGTGTAAGGCTTTATTATGACAGAAGAAAATTAATAAATAATTAATTAATTTAACTCAACTTAAAAAGTTAGAAGAATATCTGGAATCTACCGTGAAAATGCTCAAAATATTGAGTACTATTTAAATGTCGAGGCTAGTGCTTGTGAACATGGCTTGTTGTAATATGTCCTTGGGGCAATAAGGTCAGATTCTCAATATTAACTCTTCACTAACTTCTCAGGCTGGCTTGAGGCCCATTTGTGAATTCATGACCTTCAATTTCTCGCTGCAAGCCATCGACCAAGTTATAAATTCTGCTGCCAAAACGTACTACATGTCGGCAGGTGCAGTTCCTGTTCCTATAGTCTTTAGAGGTCCGAATGGTTCTTCAGCTGGGGTGGCAGCTCAGCATTCACAGTGCTTCGCAGCATGGTATAGTCACTGCCCTGGCCTAAAAGTGATTAGTCCTTGGAGTTCTGAAGATGCCAAAGGCTTGCTAAAATCTGCTATTCGAGATGATAACCCTGGTAAGTTTAGAAAAAGTTTTAGTTTTAAGGTTACATTTCAGTGTATATTGTTAGAATGTATCAAAATACTCAATTGCCATTCTTATCTATGAACAAAATATACTTCTAATGTGGGTATTACTTGGTGACGCTACAAAACAGGACTACGTATGTACCAAACGGCATAACTAGCGATGTTAGAGCTAAGTGATCCCATAACCAACAGGTCAGATCTAAGCTCTGCAGTCCTGCCGCGTCCAGTCAAGAATGGTGGCATCATCTCATCTCCAGGACATCTCTGTAGGAGTTCCTAGGCTCAACCATCTTCAGCTGCTTATCAGTGACCTGGGTCCAGGTCAGGAGTGGGGATGTTCACCAACGATTGCGCAAATGTTCAGCACTATTTGTGACTCCTCAGATACTGAAGCAGTCCAAATGCAAAAGACCCAGTCAATGTCCAGGTAATGACCATCTCCAGTAAGAAGTGATCTAACCACCACCCTCTGTCATTCAGTGGTGTTAGCATTAACATTTTGGGACTTACCAACTGGGCTTACCATATAAACACAATGGCTGCAAGAACCGGTCAGAAGCTAGGAAATCTGTGCCAAGTAACTCGGCTCCTCAAAAGGCACACCTCAAGAATGTGATGGAATACTACTACCATCCTCATTTGCGCAGATGAGTGCAGCTAGGAAAGCACATGAAGCTCGACACAATGCAGGACAAATCAGCCTGGTTGATTGGCACCAAACCCACAAATATCCATCCCCTCCACCACTGATGTTCAGTAGCAGTGACAAATTGCCAGTATTCTTAGACAGAACCTTTCAAACCCACAACCACTACTATCTGCATGGAGTTTGCACATTTCTCCCCATGTTTGCTTGTGTTTCCACCAGGTGCTCTAGTTTTCTCCCACAGTCCAAAGATATGCAGGTTGGGTAGATTGGCCATGCTAAATTGTGCCATAGTGTCCAGGGATATGCAGGCTGGATGGGTTATGAGGCTAGGATGGGAGGTAGGTCTGGGTGAGATGCTCTTCAGAGGGTTGGTGCAGACCCGATGGCTGAATGGCCACATGCTGCAATTATGGGCATTCTACGATTTCTTCTATTCTATAATCTAGAAGGACAAGGGCAGCAGAAATTGATATGCAACCTGTGATAACTGGGCAGCATGGACAAGTTTGGCTGAAGGGCCTGTTTCTATGCTGAAAGAAAAATTTCCCCTTGAAGGCACTCTCATTCCCAACTTGGAAATATATCGCTGTTTCTTCACAGTCAGTCAAAATCCTGGAATGCCATCCTTAAGGGCATTGTATGTCTACCTCAAGCGCATGGGCTGCAGCAGTTCAAGAAGAAAGCTCACCACCACCTTCTCAAGGGCAATTAGGGAAGGGCACTAGATGCTGGTTCAGCCAGTAACATCTACATCCCACGAGTAAATTTAAAAATATACATGATTTTATTGACTTTCCCAGGTTTTATCTAAGGAAACCTAGATGCATGTATTTATAATGTTGAGAAATTAAGTTTGGAGACAGCACTTTTAAGCATTTTACAAAATCTTTAACTGATGTTAGAGTCATAAAGATATACAGCACGGAAACAGACCCTTCTTCAATCCAACTTGTCCATGCTGACCAGATATCCTATATAAATCTAGTCCCGTTTTATCAGCATCTTTGACCCAAGTTCCCCTCAACCTTTCCTAATCATGTACCCGTCCAGATGCCTTTTAAATGTTGTAATTGTACCAGCCTCCACCACTTCCTCTGGCAGCTCATTCCATATGCACACCACCTGCTGCATGAAAAATTTGCCCCTTGGGTCCCTTTCATATCTTTCTTCTCTCACCTTAAACCTATGCCCTCTAGTTTTGGACTTGCCCACCCTAGGGAAAAGACCTTATCTATTTACCGTAACCATGCCCCTCATGATTTTATAAACCTCCCAAAAGGTCACCCCTCAGCCTCTGACTCCAGGGAAAACTACCCCAGCCTATTCAGCATCTCTATAGCATAAACTGTCCAACCCCCTGGCAAATACTTGTACATCTTTTCTCAACCCTTTCAAGTTTCACAACATCTTTCCTATAGCAGGGAGACCAGAAGTGCACACAGTATTCCAAAAGTGGCCTAACCAATGTCCTGTACAGCCACAACATGACCTCCCAACTTCTATACTCTATGCACTGACCAATAAAGGCAAGCATACCAAACGCTGCCTTCACTATCCTGTCTACCTGCGAATCCACTTTCAAGGAACTATGAACCTGCGCTCCAAGGTCTCTGTTCAGCAACACTCTCGAGCACTTTACTATTAAGTGTATAAATACTGCCTGGATTTGCTTTTCCAAATGCAGTGCCTCACATTTATCTAAATTAAACTCAGTCTGTCACTCCTTGGCCCATCTGACCAACATCCCTTTCTACTCTGAGGTAACCTTCACTATCCACTACACCTCCAATTTTAGTGTCATCTGCAACTTACTAACCATATCTCTTGTGTTCACATTCCAAAACACTTATATAAATGACAAAAAGCAGTGGACCCAGCACTGATTCTTGTGGCACACCACTGGTCACAGGCCTGCAGACTGAAAAGCAACCCTCCACCACCGCGCTATGTCTTCGACCTGTGAGCCAGTTTTGTATCCAAATAGCCAGTTCTCCCTTTGCTAACTGACTGTCAGATAAGCAGCTGCAGAGTAAATTGTGACTATCATTTATAGTCTTGAACATTTATTTCAGGCTTGAACATTTTCTGGTCAAGATTGAGTTGGTAAACAACAGCAGTTCCTTTTCTCCATTGAACACTGCAAATAGTGCTTCTTCTTTTTAAGCCAGGAGTTCATCAACTTTAACTTTGATCTTTTTTTCATCAACCTTTTATTAAATTTCTCATTACACTGCCCACTCTCCTTTGGAATTTGAATATGGTTATTGCTTGTAAATGTGCAGCACATCTCTCAACATGCACTAACCACTCATTATCCTGCAGTTGTTTTCTTGGAAAATGAACTGTTGTATGGTGTGCCTTTTGAAGTTTCTGAGGAATTCCAGTCAAAGGACTTTGTTATCCCAATAGGAAAAGCCAAAGTGGAAAAAGAAGGTAAGAATGTATTTAAACAAAAAAGCTAGACTTTGAATTTTAACATTACATGTTAAACACAAAAACAATTTAAATCAGTTCAATAACTTTATATTCGAAGAGTTAATGCTTCCCTTCTCAGCGTGTTGGTGTCATGTCCTTTCCTCAGCCATTACATCTACAATCTTCCTAAATCTTTTTTGATTTAAATGCTTTTGGCTTAAGTGACCTTCCCACTTCCAAAATAATCCTCTTAATCGTGTTCAGTTACCTCCACTAATTCTCCTCCTAACTACTCCTTAATATCTTTCTTTATTGCTTCTTGTTAAATTTAGGACATTCTTCTTGAACTAAAATATTGGTTAATTTCCATTTTCAGTTTGCAATAGTAACCTGTATAGCAGCTGTACAAACATCCCTTCAGAGTCAGTTGTAGTAGCACCAAAAGGAATGCTGCATACTATGTCAGGAAAAGGAAGAGTTCTCAAAGGATTGAGGAAATGTCTAAGCAACAAGAGGATTTAAATGGATAATCAACTATTACAGCAGAGGAAAGAGAAGTCTGGTATTGGAAGTGGAAAGTCCATATTGGAATGGAATAAAAGGAAAGATAATTAGGAACAAGATGGGTAGCTTTGGTAAAATAAAGACAATTTTATATCCAGCACATCTGTCTGAAACAGTATGCCCACATCCAATACAATGATTGCAGGCATTTGATGAGAAGCATCATTTAACACTGTATGTAGGAATATGCTATGAAGAGTCTTAATGTACATAGAATAATCCTTAATTAAGAGTAATTGGTTCTTGCCTCCAGGACCAAAGGGGCTATAATAGATAGAACCCTGGGGCATTCTTAGCCTTTATGAACTGGGCCTTTCTCAGAGACTCTAATCTTCCAACTGGCAGCTCCGGATATGTCAAGTGCAAGATTGCGGGTACTCTGTATTCTTTTATTTGCTAATGAGAATGTAAGTTATATACAAGAGCTGACACAATTATTTGAGTGTAAAGTAGCCCAGTTTAAGTATTCAAAAAGGATTTCTAAAATTAAAAAATTTGAAATCCAAAGGTTGACTAGCGTGGGTTCTATTTTTAAAAATAAGAACAAGAGGTAGATCGATACATTGTAAGACCAGTCAGATGAGCAAGTCTTTCTTGATGTTGCATTTGGTGAGAAATAATGATAGAATTAGATTGCTTTAACTATGAAAACCCATATTGCAGGAGGAATGATTTGGACTTGACAATATCAAAATTTGAAGATACTAAATTCGGTGGTAGAACTAACACTAATCAAGAACGCAAGGTGATATAAAAATACATTAACAATCTTGCATAGCTGTCAGTTAGATATAAATATCACCTGCGACTCAGAAAATAGAAAATGAATGAAGAGTAGTGGAATCTCGGAATACAGATGAGAAAATCATTAGAAGTTGAACTCCAAGCCAGCAAAGTACTTAGTGATAACAAAGCATTTGAGTTTATTTCTAGGTGTATTGCCTTCAATAGGAACAAGTTATGTTGCACTTGTAGAGGATCCTGCTGAGTTTGCACTTAATTGAGTGCATAATTCTGGTTTTAATACTATAAACAGAACTTAGAATGATAGTACCAGAAGTAGGAGATAACAGTAATCAGATAAGATTGAACAAGTTGGGTCTTTCACCTTGGAAAAGAGAAGCCTTAGACCTGAGGGATGGTTAAAGGAATGAATGGATTACATGGGATGAGTGTGGATTGTTTCTACTTGCAGGATAGTCTAAGACTACAGACTGTAATCAAAAATACTTACTGATGAATCAGTAGAGAAATGGGAAATTACACAGCTACAAGAAGTGATTGGAGGCAAATAGCTTAGATTTTTAAAAAATGAAACCAGATGAGTATGTGCAAAACAGGGGATCAAAATATATGCTGACAGGCTGAGATTAATTAGATGGAATAGAAGGAGACTGTAATAAGCACCAGCATAGACTAAATAAAAACCAAAAGAACTGCGGATGCTGTAAATCAGGAACAAAAACAAAGTTGCTGGAAAAGCTCAGCAGGTCTGGCAGCATCTGTGAAGAAGAAAAGAGTTAACGTTTCGGGTCTGGTGACCCTTCCTCAGAACCAGCATAGACTAGTTGGGCTAAATTACTTGATTGTGTATTGTGTATCCTATGTATGAAGGAAAGACTCGGCAAGCAGTTCCAGCATTTTCTTGGTTCTTTTGTATTACGGACGTTTGAAGACTGTTGCCTTCTGGTGCCTAACTGCCAAATGGCCATTCTTAATGTATGAGCTTAGCTTTTTGACTAGATATCAGAAATAAGCCTGATCTTGTCCTTTCTTGAATCTATACATTTTACTTTCTAGCAGTGGTCATTGAATCTCCTCTTGTTTCAGACCACTTGCAGTGCTCCTATGGCTATTCATATTGAGACTTTTATATTTTATAACATTCTTTTTTAGTGCTTTGGCCATGTGCATCAAAAGTGATTGCTGTAATGGATATACACTGTAAACATTATCACACATCTTGATTTATTGAGCATTAATGGAAGTTGACATAATCTAAATTTTTAAGTTACATTTGAACAGTACAGAAATAGAGCAGTAACTGTAAACAGGTGACCAAGCAGATCATCTGCACATAATTCCCAATTGGCAAATTTGGGGAAAATCGCCCATAGACTCGATTTGGTAAATAAGTCTCTGCACTTTTTTTTTCTTCTCATCATTTAGTCCTGCACCTCGTCCTCCTCCAACGCCCTCTCCTTCCTTCTGGAAATCATTTACAATTGTATGTGATGGACTACTGACATTATAACTAGTGTAATTAAGTGTATGCAACTTAATTTTCATACAAATAATCTTGTCAGTTTTACCATCCTCTGGCTTCCCATTTTGTAATTAAAGTGACCAGCTGACTGCAGTATCTATTATCTCAACTTGCTAACCATCAGTTTGCGAACTTTATGGGTTTTATAATTTTTGGTTTCAGATACATCCCCTCTCTCTCCTATATGCTGTGCCTGAATTTGAAATTAACTTTACCTGCTGTTTTTAAACAATAATCATTGGTCTTTATTTTGTAGGAACTAATATCACTTTAGTTGCACACTCCAGAAGTGTGGGGCATTGCCTGGATGCAGCTGTTGCTCTTGCAAAGGAAGGCATTGATTGTGAGGTGAGTTACTAAGAAAGAATAAGACTTGTGTGTGAAAATATAAAGCTGAATCTTTTTTAAATTTATTCATTCATGGGATGAGGGAGTCAATGGCTAGACCAGCATTTATTGCCCATCCCTAATTGCCCAGAGGACAGTTAAGAGTCAACCACATTGTTGTGGGTCTGGAGTCACATGTAGGCCAGACCAGGTAAAGATGGCAGTTTCCCTCCGTAAAGGACATTAGTCGTAAAGCACATTAGTGAGCCAGATGGGTTTTTTCTGCCAATCTACAATGGTTGTCATTAGACTCTTAATTCCAGGTTTTTTTTTAAATTGAATTCAAATTCCAACATCTGCTATGGCAGGATTTGAACCCAGGTTCCAAGAACATATCTGGGTCTCTGGATTAACAGTCCAGCGATTATACCGCGAGACCATCACTTCCCCATGTAGCAAGTAAAAAATGTGATTCCAATTATTAAAACATTTGAGTAAACATTCAAATGTTAACTGACTTGTTTTGAATACATATTCCAATCTCTCCAGTAGCTAATGTCACTTAAGTTGCTTTGCCCAACCATTTATACATTCACTACATGTCAAAACTTGATATTTTTGCCTATTTACCCTTTTTATCATAATTTATAAAATCAGACAGGAAGAGTTAACAATCCAGGTGAGGGTCCTATAGGAAATTGAGTGGGGAATTAGTAATGGAGGATACAAGTAATATCCCTGAAATAGCTGTATATCAGGAATTGAAAGATAAGGAGCAACTCTACTACTTCCCTGAATTGTAGTCTTCTGAGTAAAAACTTGACACCGAGTTGACAAGTCCCTGGGTCCTATGGGTTTCATCCTAGGGTCTTAAAGTACTCATGAGAGTTGATGTGTTGATTTTAATTATTTTTAAACACACATTAGATTCTGCGAAGTTCCTTTTAAATTGGAAAATAGGTAATGTAACTGCTTTATCCAAAGCTGGAACCACTAGGTCGTTGACATCTGTCTTGGGGAAAATGCTAGAAGCTATTGTTAAAGATGTTATAACTTGACAGTTGGATAAGTTTGAGATAATCAGGCAGAGCCGATATAGTTTTGTCACTTTTTTGAGGAAGAAGTAACTTGCGTTGTAGATAAAATGGAACCAATGGGTGTATTGTACTTGGATATCCAGAAGGTGTTTTGATACAGTGCCACATCAAAGGTTATTGTGGAAAATAAAAGCACCAGGTGTAAGGGATAACCCACTGGCATGATTGGCTGGTTAACAGGAAGCCGAGAAGAGGAATAAATGAGTCTTTTTCAGGCTGGTAGGATGTCATGAGTGGTGTGCCACAGGGGTCCGTGCTAAGGCCTCAACTCTACATTTGTAGGAATAATTTGGATAAAGGGACTGGTATGGTGTCTAAATTTGCTGATTACATAGGTAGGAAAGTGAGTTGTGAAGCAAACGTAAGGACCCTTGAGTGATACAGCTATGTTAAGTGAGTGGAAAATGGACTATAATGTGAGAACATGTAAAATTGCCTACTTTGGAAGAAAGAATAAAAATAAGCATATTACCTAAATAGTGAGAGGTCACAGCTCTGAGATGCAGAGATCTGGATATTGTAGTACATGAATCGCAGAAGGTTAGTATACAGGTACAGCAAAGAATCAGGAAAGCTATTAATGTTTTACTGTAAGGGGATTTGAATGCAAGAGTAAGGAGATTGTTTCAGTTATACAGGGCATTAGGGAGATCACATTTGATGTACTGTCTACAGACTGGTCACCGCACTTACGCAAGGATGTTAATGCATTGGAAGCCATTCAGAGAAGGTTTACTAGACTAACACCTGGAATGAGTTGATTGCCTTAAGGAAAGACGGGTGGATGTTGAAAGGATGTTTCCTCTCTCGAATCTAATGCTAGGGCTCAGGGTTTAAAAATAAGGGGTTGCTAACTTAAAACAAATGAGGAAAACATTTTTTTGAGGCTTTAGTCTTTTGGAATTCCCTTTCTCAAAAGGCTGAGTAGTTAGATTCTTGATTACTGAGAATATGCAGGAATATAAAGTTGAGTTTAAAATCAAATCAGTCACCATCTTATCGAATGGCAGAGTGGACTCGAAGAGCCAAATGGCCCACTCTTCCATACTCCTGTTGTGGACTACCTATCAAGCCCTAGCTATGGCTGTGGAGGAACAACAGATTTTGAAAGGAAATGATTCGCCACTCTGGTGTCACTAGTATTTATCACCTAAGTTTTTGGTTTGTTGAATACTTGTAAATCTCACATTTTAAAGGCCAGAAACATTGTTCAGAAGAGGTTTCATGGATATAATGAAGTAGCCTCATCAAAGCAGCTCTCATAAAAATCTCCACTGTACAGAAAATGGCCATTTGGCCCAACAAGTCACACCGATCCTCCCAAGAGCATTCTACCCTGTAACCCTGCATGTATCATTGATTAATCCACCTAACCCTGAATGCTAGGGAAAAGTTTAGCATAGCTAATGTACCTAACTTGCACGTTCTTTGGACTGGGAGGAAACCCAAGTGGACATGGTGAGAATGTGTGCAAATTCCACACAGTCATCTGGAACTGGAGTCGAACCTGGGTCCCTGAGCCCCCATGCCGCCCAGGTCTTATTAAAAGTAAACCCAAAGCTGTTGGCTGAGAAAGTTAGCAGGATCTGGTATTTTCTTGATTGTTTGACAAATATTCTCTTTAATACAGAAAACAAACTCCAACACTTTGTTTAAACCTCTTGAGATTGAAGACTAGTGTAAATATATCAGCTAAACTATGTGGCTAGCAATAGTGGTTTCACCAGACAGTCCTTTTTGAGTAAATCCTAGCTTGTTAAGTTCAATTTCCTCATTGGTAAAGTTTTATGATAAGTTGCATTGCCATAGCTCCATTTTATAAGCATTGTCTTACTACCATCCTTAGATGAAAGAATTAATGGTGCATTAAATGCAAAATTAATTATTCCACGGATTTTTCTTTTCAAAGAGTGCTTATCAATATTTGTATTATTCCAGGTCATTAATATGCGTACCATTAGACCTCTGGATATTGAAACAATTGAAGCTAGTGTGATGAAGACTAATCATCTGGTGACGGTTGAGGGTGGTTGGCCACAGTTTGGAGTGGGTGCTGAAATTTGTGCCCGAATTATGGAAGGTAAAGTGGTACCGATTTAAGCAATATCAATGTGAGAAATTTGGATTTTCAAATTTATTTCCTTATTTCACTCTCAAAACAGACATCTAGAATTGAAGTGTGTATATAGTTCTGAATTTTATGATATTATAATACTTGTTTGCACTCTTGTTGAATTATAACTTCTTTTTAATAGGACCAGCATTTAACTACCTGGATGCCCCAGCTGTACGTGTCACTGGTGCAGATATTCCTATGCCTTATGCAAAAGTCTTGGAAGATAACTCTGTACCCCAGATTAAAGATATAATGTTTTCAGTGAAGAAGGTACTGAATGTGTAATTGCACTTAGTGCTGTATTTCCACCCCCCACTCCATTTAAATCCTTTCACTGATGGTGTATAAAAGTTTAATAGGTGCTGGAAGATCCAAAATGTTATATGCCACGAGAGCTACAAAGTACTACTTTAGAAAGGACATTTGAGATTATACTTTTGACTTTAACAGTGGTAGTGCTCATCTTGAATGGTAATTTTTGCCTCTTCCCTAATTAATTTGTGTACAGTGATCAAATGATTAAAGTATGAAAATAACTTTGAGGATCTGAATGAAAGTATAATTTATTTAAAATCCTTAGATTCTAGCTAGAAAACAAATTCGGGACCTAGCACTTTTGTCAGAAAAGAGATGTTATGCCCATTAATGAAAGGATTGATCAACTTTGGGAAACTTTAGTACCTACTAATTAATTGATGCAAACATATCCAGTGGGCTTCATAATAAATGTTTCCTTGTATGTTTGTTCAGTTGGCAGTCTAACATTCAAACTTATGTAACTGGTCACTTGGGATATTTATGATCTTATTCTTAAAAAGGCATTTGGTTAGTTTACAAATAAATTAACCTTGTGCTATATTTTGAGTTGTATGTCAGTGTTGATTTTGGATCTTGTAAAAGTTCTTTAACTAAGGTGTTGTGCTGTGATTCAGTTATATAACTCCAGTGGAAATGGTCTTTATAATAATTGATTGAAATCAATTAACCAAGTTTTGCTTTGAAGGAAAAGTGACTCTTCCTCCCAAAATCCTCTTAGCAGCTACATTTTTAAATGTTACGCCTGAACACTGTTCCTGTTTGTTTTCCACAATTGGATCAAATCTCAAATGTTAAGCAATTTAATTTTATAGAATTCCTCTGGCCAAGTAATAGGATTAAACCTATTCTTTTGTTTGAAATTAAGAATCTATCCAAGCTTTAATATTGGGCAAGTGTTAATCAATTAGTGATAAATACAGGTTCCAAACTGCATTAAGTACCAGCGTCAAATCCACAAATGAGTTGAATAACAGGACTTCAGTGAGCCCCAGCTTTGACTACCTGATAAGGGAGTGCTTGAGTTTTAATGACTAGTAAGGTTTCAGATACCAAGTCACTTGAACTGTTTGGAACACAGAGCATGTGTTGATGCAGTGCCCTAAATAAAAGTTCAAAACACAGCCACATTTTTAAGAACTCAACAGCGGCTGGAGACTGATTGATTGATTGATTTACAACAGAAATTTCCCATGTGTTGTACTGGTATTAGTGTGAAAATGATACTATTATAACATTGTGAACCTCCAGAAGAATAAATAATTACTGTATAGCCTTGCGAAAAAATACAAATGACAGACTAGTAACAACTTCCTTGTTGAAATTAGTGGAAACAAAATAGTTTTGAATGGCAAAGTGGCTGCTGAATCTAGATATAAGCTACTATACATAAATCGGATGTTTGTTATATAGGAGTATCTCATCTTCCACTCCCTTCTATTGCTCTGTTTAGAAATGTAAAGCAGTTCACTAGTTTACATTTTCAAAAATTTCAAACAAACTGGTGAACAATTATTTTAATAAAAATATTAAATCATTGTTTACAAGAAAATTTGTACAGATAATATACCACAAATCTTTCTGCATAGAAACAGCTGTTTCTTTTAAGGTAAAACACAGTTGTATTTTAAAGTGCACTTTCTTCAGAATTTCAAGATTAGGTGATTATGGTCAAACTATATTTTTAAGATTACTACAAAACAAAAGGTTGCTATTTTTGCACTGGTTAAGTTTACTGACAACTGCTAAAAGACAAAAAGAATCTACTCCAGAAATAGCCATGTCCAGAAGGGGGCACAGCAAACCCATAAGTAAATCTTTACACAGTGGCAGCAACACAGATCCATGAAAAGGAATGATTGTCCTGGACAGAACTCCACTCACCAACATGCCTATTTTCTTAATCAGGATTTCAAGTTTGGTATTCAAAACAGTCCAGTAACAAAGCCATGTCGTATTATTTGATGGTAGGGACACTGCGGTCATTTGTATCTGTAGGTTTCAAGTGCCCCTTTTTAAAGCTTTGAATTGAGCTGAGTAAGGCTGCTCTACCAGCAGTAGGAACTGATTGTGATGGAAGATCAGTCTCAGACTTTGGAGGTGGAGGTGCAGCTGGTGGTGGAGGAACAAATGAAACTCCTGCAGATTGAGGAGAAAAGAGAAAAAAAAAGTTGTTTGGTTCCCTGACTTATGCACTGTTAAATATACATCAACAAATAAGGAAAGTTAATAGCTTGGCTATCATGCTAGAGCAGTATATAGCCAAAATGTTTATTTCATACATACTGGTTTGTAGTTTTGTTTTAGATTTTATTGTTGACAACATTTAAGACTTCAAAAATGACTACCTCTATTTTTTTAAGACAATGTAATTACACTTCAATCTATTCACTGCCCAAAGCATTTTAACTAGAAGCACTCAGTTGCAAAAATTAAAAGGAAACAAAGATGAAAAACAGCTCTCATTTAAACCCACAGCTTAAAGAAAGAAGTTCAACTTGAGTGAGATAGGGTCATTCATTAAAGTTTTGAAATTGGAGTTCATGAAGAACAGAAGTAGCATTTTTTTTGAGAATGAGCCCTTCAAATTTCAATCTGGTCGCTGCACGATGCACCACAAAATTCCTGATTGATTGCGATCACAGGAGAGGCACTTTATTCTTTCTCTGGAGAAAAAAAATGGAATGCTAATACAAGCCCTAATAATTAGTTACACTATCAATGATCGAGGAGCAGTGTCTGAGAATATGAAGATATCTATTAAGCAATATGACTGCAGGAGATACAATCCATTGTGCAAGTGTTTGAAGTATTTCAGGAACTAACACCACTCAGTTGGATGATGGTGGTGGAAGCAGTGCCTTTCCAAATGCAGTTTGCCTGTATCTAAACTTATAATGAATCAGTAGGTAAACAATTTGTTTGTTGTAGTCAGGCAAAGTCCCAAGTTTGAAGAAGGGACTGTATGGAATTAGCCATTCTGAGGTGTTGTAATATTGCCCGAATACGTCGGACTACAGCCAGGCAGAAATGGGCAGGACTGTCGTTTACGATTCAGTCACTACTGGCAGAGTGAACAAGTGGAGATGTTAGCTGAAAACAGGATCAGGTTATATCCATATTGCCAATTGGCAATGGACCTAATATTTTTAAATCTCCTGTCCCTCAAATATCACCCAAAAGTGTTTTTTTTTCCTTCAAGCAAGTAAGTACTTTACCTATTCCTTTCCTTGTCACAATCCCTTATCAGTCTTCTGCAATTGCACATTGGGGTACTCTGTACAAGAATTTTTGCAATTCTCCAAAAAACCTACTGTGACACTCTTCATGTCCTCTCCCTCATCCTCATTATGGTTTAAGGGGATGAGTGATGACATCAGTTTTAAAAGTATCAAAGCCTCAGTAAAATTACTATTAAGAGGTACTGCTGGCATGGTAAAAACCAAAAGAACTGCGGATGCTGTAAATCAGGAACAAAAACAAAGTTGCTGGAAAAGCTCAGCAGGTCTGGCAGCATCTGTGAAGGAGAAACAGTTAATGTTTCGGGTCCGGTGACCCTTCCTCAGAATTAGGAGGAGTATTTGGTAGAGTTGAGTTAAGAGAGAGCAGGAGCTGGGTCCCATGCATAATGTTTGACAGGGCGTGTGTGAATAAAAATGGAGAGATTGTATTCAGCGCTAAGTTGGGTGATTGGAAGAAGGCTTGTGAGTAAGTAAAAGGAGAAAACAGCAGTTACAACTGATTGTTTTGGTGGCAATTTCAATTTTAAGGCTAAGGGGAGACAGCTATCCATTCCTAACTTGGTTGGACCACATCAGTCTCCCTACTAGGTTACGATATTATCTGCCAAAATGTCTCTGTACTCCTAGCATCATGCTAGGAGTACAAAGTTAACTATAGACTTTTTTTTTTCCCCCCAGTGCCAACCAGGTTTTTAAAGTACCATTTCCCAGCCCATTCTGCTTTACCACAAGTACAAGCTTGTGGATTTAATTGCCGCCAAAACAATCAGCTGAACTGCTGCTTTCTTCTTCTACTTACTCACAAGTCAACCTTCTTCAAACCACCCAACTTAGTGATGAATACTATCTCTCCATTTTTACTCACACATGCCCTCTCAAACATTATGCATGAGACCCAACTCCTGCTCTCCCTCTTAACTCTACCAATTACTCCTGAAACTTCAGCTTTGTTTCCACACACCATGCTAACGGTACCTCTTAATAGTGATTTTACTCAGGCCTTGATACTTTTAAAACTGATGTCATCACTCATCCCCTTAAAATATAAACTCTCCATCCCTCCATTCTTGTAACTAAGAATTGCCACCTTTCCTTTTCTCTGAAACCAGCCCTAACCAAAATTATGAATGATACTTCTTGGAGGTCAACCTCAGGCTGACTTTCTAACCATTTCCTCTCCATTAGCTATTTCTAATTCTGTAGTACTGTCCGACTGTGGTCATCCCTCCACTCACTTATTGCTGAAACACTCATTCACCTCTTTGATACCTTCAAAATCAATTAATCTAATGTTTTTCGGGTCACATTTTAATCCTCTAGTCTCTAAACTATAGCTCATCCAAATTTTAGCAACATGCAACTTTCTCTACATCAAGTCCTGTTTGTTCCTTTCTGTTCCTGATCGATTAAAAACATCAAAATGTAGGAAATCAGTTAAGGGACCACTGTGTTTAAATCTTTCAATAATCTCACATCTTATTACTATAAGTACCTCCAGCCTGCAAACACTAAAACATTTTCTTTGATTCATGCTTCCTGTGTGTCTAACCTTCACCACACTATTGTGGTTGTGGGTTCAGATACTGAGACATCACGAAATTCCTTCTGTAAACACAATCCATTTCTCTTCTCGTAAACCCTCTAAGGCATTTTGGGTAAGGAATCCATTTTTTCCTTACACATCCATGGCACTCTAGGACTGTTTGGTATTAAAGCCACCTACCACAAGATTTTTGAATAAAGGCAAAATGCTGCAGATGTTGAAAATCTGAAACCGAAACATTAGAGAAACTTGGGTCTGGCAGCATCTGTGGAGAGAGAAACAGAGTTAAATGTTTCAAGTCTGGTATGACTTCTTGAGAACAAAAGACTCATAACAGACTTGAAAAGTTCACTCTGCTTCTCTCTCCACAGATGCTGCCAGACCTGCTGAGTTTCTCCAGCATTCTCAGTTTATTGCAAGATATTGTTGTTAGTACAGTATGCACACTATAACTCAAACAAAGAATTGTTACTTGAGAAAAAGGGAGGAAAAACAAAGGGAAAATAGAGCAGACATATAAAGAATCTTGGAGCCAAGAGTTCAATTATATAAATAATCTGGTCGAAAAAGATTCCATCTCACTGTTCTCCCAACCAAGAATGATTGCAATTGTTAACAGCAAACTGATTCACCTTGATGACTGTGACCTCTTTCTGTAGCCTTAAGTTTTAGGGTGGTCTACATTACCCCAAAGTCAGGCTCAAAATGGTGTGTGCTCTACAGCAAAGACAGCATAGAAAGAAAGAAGCAACAAGTCATTACCAAGAAAAAGGCATTCTGGACAATATACAAAATACAACAATGACTTTCAGACAGATGAATAATAACTATAGAAAAATTGGAGATAAAATATTCCTTATTACACCAAGTGCCATACAAATTTGAATGTCTTCTTATTACACTTTACATAAACATATCAAGTTCTCAAAGGCAGAATTTAACACAAACGCAAAGTACAATGGATGGTGGAAATCGGAAATAAAAACTGAAAATACTGGATATTGGACTGCAGCAGTTAAGAATATCAGCTCACCATCATCATGTAAAGGGCAACTAGGGATTGGCAATAAATGCCAGCACAACCAGCAATGACCACAACGCCATGAATGAATTTTAAAAATACTCTGAGTCAAGCAACATCTGCGCAGTGAGGCAGAGTTAATGTTTGAGGTTGATAACCTTTCATTCTGGAAATGTCTGTTAACCAGAAACGTTATTTCTTCTCCAAAAATACAGCCTACTCTGCTGAGTATTGCCAGTATTTTGTTTTTATCTCAGGAACTAATGTTGCCTTCAGGAACGAAATGAAGAAAAACAGAAAAAGGGCTAAACATGTACATTCTAAACCAAACAGCAGAAATTCTCACAAATAACACCTAGCCACAGTTCTCCACAGCACTGCCACAACCCCAGCTCTAGAGCTTCAAAGTTAACACCCAAGAATATCCTCCCTTCCTAGTTTAACAAAACTGCTTCCCGAGCTCTAATGCCTGCAGGATCTGTGTGCTATGATACTCCATCTATATTTCACAAAAGGAAAACTCCCTTGCAAAATCAACTGAAGAAGAGAAATGTTAAGATCATCTGAGGCTTAATCATGTTTCTTCCAGAAAGTCTGAGATAATGGATACTGTTTTGAGATTCTCTCAAAACAAAGCACTCAGATTAAAATACATTAACTGAAACAAAATGAATGGTTGACAGGAAGTCAATTAACTAGAATCAAAACACATTCCATTTATACAGCACATAATAAATATAAAATATGATTAAGTTGCAGAAACCAATGGACAGAACATTTCCTAAAAATGAACTATTACAACCCAAGGAAAATAAGTTAAATGGTAGATTATAGAACACTTGTAGGATTCTTATTTTTAATACTGCATGCAGAGGTTCCTGGCAAGTTGGTGATGAACTAACCAGTAGAAAGGAAAAGTAATTAGAACAGGGAGAAAAAGGAAGCAAAGCATTGTTTAGAAACTGTTGCAGTCAGATTTTCGGAAGTTGTAAGTTTGCTGAAGGATTACAAAAAACCAAATCTTTTGCCATTAAAAATAATGGACAGAAAATGCAACTGTATAATCCAACTATACAATTAAACTGATTTCAGCATGACTTTGAAAGTTCATAAAACTCTAAGACCAGACGAATACCTGAACACTAATAATATGAGAGTGTGACCATTAAATTTAGTGGTTTGAGTACAGAAGCAAAACATTAAAAATGACCTTGCATTCTTGAATGGCATGCAGCATAAACATTTCATTTATAGGTAACTTAAATCTTTCAGTGAACAATAACAGAATATCTCCAAAGAAGAAAAGTAACTGATGAATTGTGTTTTCAGAATA